TATATTACCATTATATTCCTCTGGTCTTGATTTTGCTCCTTTTGTTTCCTATCAGACTCCCTAGAGGCCTTAGTTTGTCTTCATTCACTCCCTCAAACGTCTTCCCAGATGCTCAAATCCCACTTCTGTTATTGCAGTTCCTTTTAAATTTGTCTGGATCCCTTGTGCAGAGTCAGGACTTTACTGTTCCTGAGCTCAGCATTCTCCTGGCTGGACTCCAGCTCAGGTAATTATATCCAGGGCTCTCTCCGACTTCTCTCTCTCTGGCTGCATTTGGAGAAGTTATTCTGCCCTTTTCTTTTCCCAACTGCTTTATAAGGTTGCGGATGCTGAGGACTGATGGGATGTGTATTTCGGAGAGGCCATGCATTATGCATTAGGGGTGAACCAACACCTTCCGTGGGGGGAACTCAAAGTCCCATCACAGCTTCCTTTCTTGCTATTTTAAGTGGACAGCTGTCACACAAAGGAGATGCTGAAGGACAAAAATTTGGCCCAGATTAATCTGTTGTTGCTATTTGACTGTGGAGACTTCTCCCCCTTATTTACTATTCTGAATTTAGCCTAGATTTGTTCAATGGCTGCTCAGTGGCTTATGTCACTTGAGCCGGTTGTCACAAGATGCTCACAAAAATAGATTTCTCACTTATTGGGAGAAATATCAATACAGAGGCTAAAGAGAGGATAAGCATCGCTAGAGGTAATGCCACTACATCAACCACGCAGCAAACTACAAAGCAAAAGCGATAGGAAACTTAATTTTGCAATGCCCATGTTCAATCTGCTTGTTAACCAGCAGGTTTCTGATTCTGGTACTGATCCAGTGCTAGGCCAAGGCTCAGAGTATTCTTTCCAAGGAAAAAGGATTCAAACACCATCAAAACCACAATTTGTAATTCAAACAGAATCACAAGGATTCTGAAACATTTAAGAGAGAGGAAAAATATTTTCCTCCTGAACTAAGAAGTATGAACCATAAATTCAGGCAAATTACAGAAAGAAAAAAAAAAAAAAATATATAGTAAAAACCAAGATAGAGAACAGCAATTAATCCACTTACTAGATGCTGCTCTTTCCCGCAGGATGCGGGCATGAGAACTGGCTGCAAGTATTTACGCAAGCTCATCTAACTGCTCACTGCAGTGCAGCTCCTCCCCGGCAAAGAAATGGATCTTCACACTTCAAACGAGTAAATGATAATCAATTCTGGCTCCCTCACCTTGGAGGAATTGGAGCTGTTGCTATCAGTCAGCGGAAGGTAGCTCTTCCCCACTCTGGGCAGAAGTGCTGCACTGGGGAAAATTTCAGGAAGGCAAACGATTCAGGAGAGTTCTACGCTCACAAAAAGTTTAAGAAACGCTTTTTTAATCTAAAATCGAAGGCTTTGCTTTTGCTGTGGATCATCTATCGGAGGAGGATTATCAGGGACCAGCCTGCCTGGAACTGAGGTTGGACCAAATTACCTCTGGAGGTCCATTTGAGCCTAAATCATTCCATGGTTATTCTCCAGCCCCAAGGATGATGGCCTGTAATATCTGGAAAGAAGGCGGCAGTGCCTGCTGTGCACCCCCAGGGGAATCCATCAGGCCAGAGAAACTCCTACTAAGGAAAAACAATAAAAGAAACATCTACCTGATGCAAAAGTAATACAGACTATATTCAATATTTTTTGGTTTTTTATTCTTTCCCCTCAAATCTTCAGGTTTTAAAAGCCGCCAGGTCCAGCTCGGCTTCGTGTTAAAAAAAATAATTTATTCCCAGTTAAGCCATGACTGAAGTTGGATCACTCGCTGAATTAGGTTCTCCAGAGCAGTCACAACCCTCACAGACTTCACCTGATGATGTCCACCTGGCTGAGATGGCTTCTGCATTTGTCCCAGAAGGGACTCCGGGGAGCAAAACAAAGAGAGGGGAAAGGAAGGACCAGGGGTGTGTGGAAACGTACATCTGGAAGCTTGAGTTAACCTTGCCCTGCTGCAGAGTCAAGTCAGCGCAGCCCCCGCGCGGGTTTGATGACAGGACTTGGCCGGTGCAAAAATAGCTGGCACCAGGTTCAGCTTCTTCCCCTTCTGCTAAACAGCCCTTTCAGGCAAAATTTAAGAAATCGACTCCACTGTACTCGGTAACATTTTTATCCTCCCTCCCCTGCAGTTCAGTGGTACGTTAGCGGCAATAAATCCGTATTTAAAGTGCTGTTGACTGCTTTAGAACTTCAGCAGCAAAGGAAATAAAGTAAGCACAGAAGCATGTAGCCCTTGCACAGTTAAACACGGGGATAACTAAAAGCACGGTTGACTAAGGAACTAAATAAAACCATAACACGCTGCTGTATGGTTTTTATCACGTGGATTTTTTTGTAATCTATGTAAGTGGAAACCAGGAACGGGTGCGCGTGTTTGCACAAGACAAACAACAGGAACTGACTTATTTTAGGATTCTTACTGCAACCAAAGCACCGGGGACAAGGAGAGAGTCAAAGTATACAAACATGCCCGAGAGTTGGAATTTTTATGAAGAAAATTTTTATGATATCCACGTAGAATGGATGCAGTTGGCTTACATTATACCAGCAGAGATGAGTCTGATGATGATGATGCTAAGGCACAAATAGCTTATAAGAAATGTAACATGTATTATTTCATGCTTATACATTTTCATAAGGGGTGATACAATGAAGCCAATTCTACAGCTTCAAAATCTTCAGCATGTTTTTTTTCTCTGTATGAAAACTTCAAACAGGTTTGGAGGCCAGCCAGCAGGCAAGTAAAAATTGCTTTATCAGATCCAACTCAGGATTTTCTTATTAATTATTACAAGTAAAGGTGTCTAATGTAAGAATAGCAACAGTCTAAACTTCCACAGTACCCATCACCCAAATATTTCAAGTTCTTTACACGTATTACTGGGTGAATTTGCATTGCACAGTGCTATATATCTTATTGAAGAGAAGCAAAGGCACTGCTATTATGGATCACGTTTTTGACAGCGTTGGTTGCCAGTATTATTCTCTGCGGGGTCTTTGCACATGGGGCAAGCTCACCACGGTACAATCCTTACCTTCCTTTAGTCACTTAGTAAAAGAGCCCCAGACTGCTCATAGACATTTCTGCAAATGCTGTAACGACCTCCTGTTCTCAAAATACATTAAGAGGGCTACCTATTTTCTTTTTTAAAATGTTGTCAGAGAAACAAAGTGAATGATTGAACTGCTGCTTTACCAGGCAGCCCTACATTTGTAGGTGAGCGAAAATCATCCCAGTCAAACTTTAAAAAGGCTGTGGAAATAACCATTAGCAAGCCAGAGGTGTCTGTGAAGATCATAGAGGATATAGAGAGGGATATTAAGAGAGTGCCGCGATTCAGCTGGGAGAGATCAAAGAGAGCCAGATAACAGCCAGGGGACATCAGAGTACCATGAAAGTTGCTGAGGATGTAGGAAAAGCCTGTGTGGTGCTGTGGGACATAAGGGAAACTGAATAAGATATGTGTGTCAAGAAAGGTCCCAGGGTGATACAGAAAACCAGAGGAGACATCATCATGACAGAGCTGTCTGAGAAAGCCTCAGGATGACGATGGAAACCAGAAAAGGCCGAGAATTTCCGGGGACACAAAAGACAGGCAGCTAACACAAGGGAACGTTACTGAATGTGATCAGGAAGGGCTATAACTGCTGGGCAGAGCTGCAATGATGTTTGAAATAATGAAGTCACAGAGTGCCCAGATTATGGGTAATAACACATGCTGCTGGAGGTCAGGGACCGATAAAAGGTAAATGAGGAAGCAATTAGAAATATGCCACAGAAAGCCAGATATTATCACAAAATAGGAAAGAAAGCCATTGCTAGAGAGCATGAGGGGGAATATGAAAAACGTTTTCACAGAAAAACTCCCCAGCCTTAGGAACCTTCCTGGAGCAGCTGCTGAGGCTGAAGAAGGCTACAGCATGCTAGGGAATGAGAGAGCAATCGTGAGATTGCTCAGATGCCAGAAGCAGTGAAGCAGATTGTGAGCTGAATGACAAATGTGTAAACTGCTGGTTGCTATAAAGGGCCACGGTGTCAGAAAAAGTCGGAGCCTGCTGTTCTGGCTTCTGGAGGCATCCAGGAAGAATGCAAGTTGAAAGAACACCGCATAGGTTGAGCAGCCTCAAGAAATATTGGAGAAGGCCATGAATACCTTCAAGCCTGTTCAGTGGAGGGACCCAGAGGAAGGCAGTGAATTACTGGAGCGGTTATCTATGCAGCCACATAGAAACCGAGGCGAGGCCGCGATCTCCCAAGGGCCTGAGATACCAGAAAAAAGCTCGAGAAAGAATGCAGATTGCCAGGGGGACTAAAGAATCCTGCATATAAACTAGGGACAACTGAAAAGCTGCGAGATCTGTCAGGAAGCACAGGGTAAGGTCACAGACTGAAACAACTCAGATGTCTGGTTTCACCATTTGACTAACAGAAGAAGGATGTGACCCAAGATAATCTTGCCCGATTCTCTTTTGGAGTGCAGAACAGAATCCCTTTCAGTACTGTCTTAAAGGAATGAATGCTTCCTGCCCAACGACCAATGCCATGTATGGAAAATAGCTATCTATCCTATGTCATTGTATGTGTTTAAACTGGGCCTTGGAAACCACATGAGACTAGGAGAGGAAAATAATCTCTTTGGGACAAGGGAAACTTTTTAAGGGCTGAGTTATGCTCAGCTCTGTCTGCTGGCACATGGAGCCCTGTCGCCCCTCACAGCACAGTTACACAGCAGGTAGGTATCACTGAGCTCTCATCCTGAGTTTATAAAAATACTGATAGAGAAAAACCGGTATGGAAAATATGTTTTATTCATGCAACATCTATCTCCAGAGCACCGGTCCTAAATAGAGTAACACAGCCAATGTATTTATAATTCACGGTGCCGGCTGGCTCTGGAGCGATGCCTTGCTGGAGCCAGGGCAGAGCGAGGACCTCAGCCCCCATCTGGCAGCCTGGTTTTGCTAAAGAGACACTTACCCTCTTTGAAACGTGCTCCTTGCTGCGTGTCTTCCCAGGGGAATGACGATCGGCACTGGCACCAGCACTTCAGCAGCACATCTCCTCCCTCCCTCTAGCACAGCTCAGCCTCAGGAGAGCCATTCTGCAGCCTGCATTTGGATAGGGTGGGGAGGGGGGGGGTAGGGGGGGGAGAGGAAAGAAGACAAAGAGTTATTTTTTGTAAGATTTGCTGCAGAAGGCAGCAAACAAGGTTTCCAGCCTCTTCCCTTTGTTTGCCTTAGGTCTCTCAATTTCTATATCAGGCTGTGGTACAGCTTCCATTAGCGCTTCCTCATCAACATCGTTAACAATGGTTTCCTCACTGAGGGTATCACTAGGATTATACTCACTGCCAGAATCCTCTGGCACAAAATCACTGTCTGAGTCAGAGCAGAAAAATAATTAACCCTCATGATACTTCTCTGAGGAACGAACAGAATACCTAATAAGATTTATGGGGCATCAAATTGATCCTGCTCCTAAGGAGAAAAGCATCCACGGGCTGAAGTTGGCATCGCCACCGAGAAGTGAGGAGGTTCCGGTGTCAAGACAGGAGACTTCTTCACCTCATCTGTAAGCGGCCTGCATTACCTTAATTGCGTTAGTTACCTTGCATGTCTAAACAGCAAACCACTTGTTTACTGCTCTGGCCCTGGATTAGATCATGGTTTCATCACCCCAAAAAACTATCAGTGTCAACGGATTCTCACCTTCGGTGAAACTGGAGTCAGGCAGGGTAAGACTATCTTAGTCTAAATTACCAGCATCTGATTAGCAAAACAGCCTTCAATCACTCCTGATCATACTCTCGATCTATAAGATTTAATCTATAGATTTACGATTCAACCTACAACTCCAGAAACTGAAAGAGAACTGCTGGAAAATTTGCCCTACGTATGGAGAAGAGCATTGCCCCACAGAAGAGAAATAACCATCAAGATTTAAACAAATTTGCGTGTTCTCGCTGTTTCCAACTCCAGAGACAAGATTATTTCCTTCCCTCCAAAAAGCAATCAGTCACTTCAGTAGCAGACATTCGCAAGCAAAGCTAATTAACTTTCTAGGTCCAGAAGGATCCCCTCCCAAAAGCTGATAATATGTCTCAGTGGGATTGGAGAAGGATAGTACAGTCCTAGCTGGCTGGGAAGGACCTCTGGAGAAGCATACATCATGCAGATTTCTGTCTTCAAAAAAAACCCAGTAGTCTGCTCAGATCTGGAAGCCTCAAAATCCTTTCACTTCTGCTGGGAATTTAGTTCAAAGCAGCTGCATGTAAATTTTTCATAGCAAATGCTACACTGGCAAATCTTTCTCACGATTCTTGTTTTTAAATCAACAAGAGTAAACTATATAGAAGAAGAGCTAGCTTTAGGGCAGCCAGATTTACCCTAACTGCTTTAAAATAAAAGTGAAAACAACCAATCCTAAGGAAAAAAAAAAAAGGGATCTGAAATATGTATGAGCAGCCACTGCCCTGCCTCATCTCTTTGTGCTGCATAAGGGGGACACAGATTGGCTGAATCCTTATAAATAGAAATCTGATACAGAGATTCCTCAGAAAACATGCATCCATAATTCCCAGTTCCTCTCCCTCCAGCCAGGAGCAGGTAAGAGGCAGGGAGATGTGGAAGGAGAGTCAGAGCATCAAGCTCGGAATCGCCTGAGGGCTCCTTATCTTTCTCCAGGCTCTAAAACGATGAGAGGTGAATATTTCCTCCTTTGTTCGCATCCCTTGCGTATGTGTTTCTGCTATCTGTGTGACCTCTAAACTTCTCACTCATCTGAAAGAAGGCAGAACTTTGTCATTTACTCCCAAATTGCCAAGCTCACTTCAACCTTTGACTTACTTCATATGCATTAAAAAAAAAATAAAATAATGAGATCGGTAAAAGTTGCTAATGGAGAGAGAAAAACACCTCAGCAAGAATGCAATTGTTAGGACACATTTCAAATCTTGTTAGTAGTTATCCCTTTAACACAAAGTCACAGCCCTGGCATGTAATTTATATAGATATTCCCTCTGCCCCCACTCCTACTCACTACCTACACCTCCCTTCATACTTTTAATGTACTCCTAATCTTATGAAAATGCTGAGCTTACTGTTTTGGGGGTAAAATTTCCCTACAGACTCAAGCTGACTAAAAGGCTGGGTAAATACCTTGCAACCCCAGTGACAAGGATGATAAGGAAGCCCTTCCCAGCACAGCTCCCAGCTCTTACGTCTGCGTTACGTGGGCCTGTGAGCCCCATAACCACGCAAGCTCTGTATCAGGCACCTCTTACAGAAAGCTGCTGCACTGTAGACATCAAAGGAACGTATGTGCTTGCAGTTGTTTCAGGAATTGGCCACGCAAATGCCAAGAATTCACTTTGACACTGATTTGACCATAATTTGGACCTTCTCGGCCCGACAGCTGCTCTGCACAAAGTTTTTCTACCGTTGTAACTAGAGGAAAACAGCTGCACCGCCGTGGTTTCCCATGTTGTGCCTGCCCAAGGCCGGTGTGTGTGTGTGTGTCTGCAGCAGCTGGTGTCCTCCTCTGCCTGCTGCGGAGACGATGGGAGAACTTTGCTGATTCAGACCCTCTCCCCCTCTGCTCAGCCCCTCCTGCTCCTTCTTGTGGAAATCATCACCTCTTCAGATCTGCCCGTGGAGCGGGTCGTGCTGCCACCCCGTAACCTACTTTGGCCAACCTGAGCCAGACTTAGCCTAAATGGATTAAGCAGGAGGTTTTTTGCTAACCCAGTTTGATTGAAGTGGGTTAAGGGGCACTCACACAAGCATCTCTGCAAACACATCGTAGAGAGGGCATTAATTGGGGGCTACAGGAGAGGTGGGGAGGGACTCTTGATCAGGGAGTGGAGAGATAGGATGAGGGGCAATGGTTTTACACTGAAAGAGGGGAGGTTTTAATTAGATATTAGGAAGAAATTCTTTCCTGTGAGGGTGGTGAGACACTGGAACAGGTTGCCCAGAGAAGCTGTGGCTGCCCCATCCCTGGAGGGGCTCAAGGCCAGGCTGGATGGGGCTTGGAGCAACGTGGTCTGGTGGGAGGGGTCCCTGCCCATGGCAGGGGGGTGGAACTCGATGATCTTTAAGGTCCCTTCCAACTCAAACCATTCTGTGATTCTATGAATTTACTTTGCAAACAGCAGAAGTTACTGTTTCCCACCAACCACACGTTGCTGCTCTCACAGCACCACAGGGAGAAGGGGAAGCGCGTTTCTCTCTCATTCGAGCGAGAAGTTGGCAAGGTTCACCTGCCAGGAAGGTTCAAGCTTTAGCATTGCAGCAGACTAGGAACTGCTTGTGTCTTCCTTTCTGGAGATGGAACTGAGGAGGTAATTTCCATCAACTTGGGCTGAGACATGTAGTTTAGAATTAGAAGTTGACTTAGTTACAAGTACCCAAAGCCCTTCTGCCCCAGATGCAGTTACTCTGCTCCAAAGGACCTGGGAAGGTATCGCCATAAGCATCTAATCTCACTTCCCCGTTCTGGTGGTTTTTACTCTGCAATTACGTCAGCCACGGCAGCATGAATAGCACAGGTAAACCAGCCTTAGGTCATGCCCATCAAATAAAAAGCTCTTCTATTTAAAGATTAATGTAAGAAATCAATGTGCTTCCAGTGTGTGCCAGCAGATGATCTAACCCCATCTCAAGCATGCTCAGAAACTCCACATCATGGTGATACAAAATCTATCAGCAGTTAATGCTAAGAGTGTCTGGCTGGCTGCTCCCAGAGCGCTTCAAATGCCGGTTCCTGAGCTGGCTACCAGATGTGGTCTCCTTTTCCCCAAAGGCCATCACGAGGGCTGCTATTTCATTCTCAAATCTCAGCAGTCAATGCTGTGACAGCGCCGAGTTCTGCTCTCTAACATATGTCTCTTGCATGACAGCACATTAATTCGAGGACGTTATTATGCTGAAGGGGCTAAACTGGCCACTTAATGGGAAGGGATGCATCTTTCCAGCTATCAGAAGCAACCAGCTTAAGAAGAACGCTGTCAGAACAGCATTAAAAAAACGAAAGGGCAGTTTCTATTAAGGCCAGGCTGGCAACACGGCCATGAGGAGAAGGAACGGGGACAATGACAGGCACCCAGGTCTCATCCTGACTTAAAGTTGTGACTTGGCTGGGACAGGGCACCAGGACAGGGCCCCAGAATCCTGCTGTCCGCATACAGACTTAATTAATAATAAAATAGAGTCATGAACTGTATTTTAAAACCAAGTGACACCAATATTTAATTATCCTTTTAGGACAGTACGAGTCCGAGTCACTCAGTAAGATGCTTGTGTGCAAAAGAAATAGAAAATTAGCACTTATGTAATCAACTATGTATGGCTCAATCTGGCAAAACCATTAGCCAAGCTGTTTAAAACATAAAGCTCACAGCAAGGAGCAGTCTGTTTTGTGCTCCTTCATGAGCTATGGAGTGAAAACCTGTGGCTTGGTTTGGCAAGTTATAACCCATCCAGGAGCAGGAACTGCTTCTGACTGCAGACTCAGTTCTCATGGGGCCTGAGACCGAGAAGCCAGTGAGATGTCAGAGACCTTAAATCCTACTGAACCCAAGATCTAGCTGCATCCTTATGCGCCCAAATAGCCTTTCAAAGAAAAATGTAACCCCATGTGATGGAAGTTTGCATCGGTACAAATCCCAAGCTGGTTTAGACCATACACACACAAGAATGGAATGTATCATCACCGTGCCCATGCCTTCTTCTCTTCACCGAGGGCTGGGTTGAAGGTATTTTGAAAGAAGTGACTGTATCTCCCTCGTTAAGAATTAAGCATTCCTGGCAGTAATAACTGCCTTGTAACTAACTCCTCATTAGCACTCTCTTAGACCTGTGTAACAGCACTGACTTTATGTTGCTCCTGGTCCAAGAACAGGATTATCATCTCAGCACCAAAGCTTGCTCTTAATTAAACTGTTACAGATACAAAAAAAAAAAAAATCCCCTTAAATAAATGGAATGACTTTGGATTTACAACAGCGTAACTGAGATCAGAGTTGGTCCTATTGTTCCCCATAAAATCCATAACTTAGCATGATAATGCACAGTGTTCTACTCAAAGCTTCTTTTAGCTGGGAAGACCAGCTTGTTTTACCCACCAGTAGTATGTCATGGTGACAGATAACAATTCTAATGAATTCAGTACTCTGATCTGAATTCCTTACCCAGGAAAGAAAAATACATCTACAAATAAGAATATGGCACCTGCTTTAGATGGAATAAAAGCATTAATGTGAAGAACAAGAAACCAAATATCTAACCCTGAGTGATGCTGAGCAGCTGCAACTTCCATGAGCTTTGCAGGAGTTGCAAGAAGCCAAGATCTCCGTGGATAATATTTTAAGATACAATGCAAGGACTTTTTGTACTGTTCTCGTTCAGTTTGTCATTTATGCAAAGGGAGACACTAGATAAAAAACTAAAGAAAAGAACACGTGGAATCCAGATGCCTGAACACAACTGTACAAAGCAGAACTTGCAGTGGCGATGCATGTAGAAGCTTGATCAAAGAGAGATCATTAATCATGTACATACAGGTTGGATGAGGGGGAAAGGCCTGAGGAAAAACCGCACAAAAAAAGTCTTCATCACACAAGTACTTACATTATTGCTTCATAGCTTTTTATGGCCTTAAATCCAAGTGAAAAAAGACATTATCTAAGGTGGTCTAGGGGATATAGCAAGGATATACAAGGAGAGATTGAGGAAGGGTAAATGAGGTTTTATAGCATTCCAGATTTCACTTATGAGTGATGGAATGGCCGTTAAGACCACTGGAATGATTTCGTGCATGGAAGAAAGCAAGAACTCAAGAAAAGAAAGCAAGATAAGTATGTATGTTTTAGCAGAATTCTTACCAACTACTAAATTATTATTGGCTGCATACCAAGCGCTCCACACAGTGATAAACAACTGTTCATTTTATTTCACTAAACAAAAAGCCCATTGAAAGATCTCTACTATTACTGCATTCACTGGAAACTCACTTGAAAAATATAGTTTTGGACGTACATCAAATACAACTTACAGCTGAATAACTGCAGTGGCCTAAGTTACTTTTCAAACATGTCAAGAAAATGTTCTGTTCTCCAAGCAAGAGGAGAACAACAGAATGAAGCAGCACACTAACTATAGGTATCAGACATTCCCTGAGGCTCAGAAATAGCTTCTCTTTTTAATTGCCAAGATTTCATCAACTGGCCTTGCTTGCAGAGGAGTTGGGGGGAGGTGGTTTTACATACAGGCCCCCATTTTTGGTGGCAAGCCAGCAAAAACAGTAGGAATTCCCATATCCTGTCTTGCCACCAAAAAAAAAAAGGTACATTTTCAACAGCTGTGTCAGCACAACAGTACGTAAGGCCGCACAGTAAACTGAAAAAACGAATGGATCCTGGTTGAAAAAAAAAAAGTGTTACTAAAAACGGTGCTGCTTTTAATCCAGCGCAGGTTTACAAACAGCTGTGGCAGCACAACCATGGGGCCACAGGTAGTGGTCATAGCAGGGAAGGTGGAATCCTCAAGATCTGCAGCCAGGAACAGGCTCCGCAGAACCATGCATCAGGCTGTATGGAGCTGTCATGGTGACACATCACATTTTCTTCAGAGGTAAGGCCAATTATGAAATCCCTCTCTCTGTTCTTTGCCCTGGCTGCTGCAGTTTGTCACCTCCACAGTTGTGCATATATAATATTTTTAGAAGCTGCTTCCTAAACCGGATCACAGAAATCATCTGGGTTAAGCAAAAAGAAATCCCACAATGGGCTTGTTTTCTAATCTTTCTGTGTCGCATTAGCTCAATGGCAGAAATTGTGAATTACAGGGCTAACGACTAGTCATTGACAAGCTCCTAAAACAGCTCTTGTGTCAAAAAAACACATAAAAGATCCTGAAAAATCCTCTGAAAAGCAACCCTAAGGTGCTTCTGACTGGACAGCCCAAAATTGGGACTCCTCCTTCAGAAAGAAAATATCTGTCTCCCACTTGAAAACCTGAATCCAATTTGGTGAGCAATGGTTCTGTGAAATGTCATGCATGTCACAGGGTTTGTGCTCCCCACACCTTTCATTTTCATGTATTTACATCCCCCATGTGTCTGTAAAACCCTACCAAAAGCAATCCCTACTCTGCATTATAAACAGCTACCCAAACCTGAGACATTGGAGAAGCCCTCCCTCCAGGTTAGGTTCTGTGTTTGGGGTAAGTGCTCTGTCAAAACATCTATCACATTTAATCAAGAGCTGCTGATTATCAGCCTCTCTGAAAGACAACTCTTACATTTCTGAAGCTGGGTTCTCAGACACGGCAGCATCTAAACTCTGTGAGCAGTTCTGGAAAGAAAAAGTAAAAAATATCTTCAGTCTTTCCACTATTCATACCCTCTGCTTATTGGTGCAAAGCCCTTTAACAGAATTGTTTAGACCACATAACACCCACAAGTTGCAATTTATTAAAGTTTGGCAGACTAATCACGTCAGACTCTCTCAGAGTTGATCCCCACAGTAACAATTATTTTCTGCTTTACTGACTCAGGGAAACTCATTCTAGTTTTTCTCCCCTTACCTCCCATCCACCCTTTTATTTCTATGCCGTGTTTCTTCATTCTCCCTTTGCACCTATTGTGCCTTTTGTGGTCAAAAACCCCTACAGCTAGTTACTTCCCCATGTTGCTACTGGAGACTGGAAGAGCCTGCATAATTTGTCCCCTTACATGCAGATCTGCCCTAAACTTTCCAGTTTATTTGTTTGGCCACAATGTTGAGGTTTGCTCAGTTCAGTACAATGAGCTTAAAGTCGTGAGTCATTATCGGGAGCTTTTGGCTTTTCAGTGTGTCCCCACAAAGCAGAGAACGGAGGACTGCAATTTTTACGTGATTATTGTAACCACAGCAGTTACACAAGCCGTGTGGCACAGCCAGAGCTTAAGCACTGTGGATGGCTATACGTTGTGTGCAATTAAGGAACAAAGATCACAGGTCACTGAAGGAAATGGGATCTTAAAATGTAACAGGAGAAGTCGCGGATTATTTTTTTCCTCCCTCATTTCTCTTTTGAAATGAATTCCTGTCAGTTTTATGGAAATGCTTCACACAGACACAGATATAGATAGACAGACAGACAGACAGATAGATAGATAGATAGATAGATAGATATGTTTGAAAAGCAGGGTTTCCCAAGATCTTTATAATTTCCTAACTTTCAGTCTCTTCCTGACCCCAGCAGCGTTACTGCCAGCGCCAGGCCCAGGGCGGCCAGGCCCAGAGAAGCCAACCAGCTGCTCCTGAACATCCCTTTTGTTCCGCACGGAGCCACCCTCCAGCTTAACAAAGGACTTTCCAGCCCGGGGAAAACCTGGACTACATTCAGCTGTAAGAGCCAGCCCAGCTAACACCGCACTCGCCACTCACTCGCCCGCCAGGCCGGGGCTGGCCCAGAGCCCAGGCCTCACCTCTCGCCGGTCCCTCATGGCCAGCCAAGGCCAGGACGGGTCCCTCACCCCCACGCTGGCCCACCCGCACCCCCCAACCCCCTCCATGAACCTCAGACCGGGACACTGAGGCGGAGATGCCCGCACCTGGCCTGGCGGAGCGCCGCTGCTGCCGCCCCCGCGGAGCCCCCAGCCCCAGGCGGGCCGGCCACCTGCCCCCCCTTTCGCCGGTGGCGGGGCTCGAACCCGCGACACCCAGCCGGCGCCGGCCAGCCCGCGCCGCTCCGATGCGGCTGCGCGGCCACCAATGGGAGCCCTCGCTGCGCCGTGGGCGGGGCCGTGCCTGCCGGCATCCCGCCGCGCCGGGCGGGGTCGCTGTGGCAACGGCGCCACTAGGGGTGGGGCCGGGATCTCCGAGTCATCTTCTTCGCCATTGGCCAACGGTTTCCCGCCGGCCAATGGGAGGTACCGGTTTGCGGGGACGCGGCGTCCGCCTTCGGTGCCATCTTGCTGCCGGCGGTGGGAGCGGAGCGGAGCGGAGCGGAGCGGCGGGTAGGCCTGGCTCCGCCATGCCGCACTACCAGGCCTGGGAGGAGTTCACGCGTGCTGCCGAGAAGCTCTACCTCGCAGACCCCATGAAGGTGACCGGGGCTGGGCCCAGTAGGCCTCGCGAGCGGGAGGGACGGCCGGCCGGATGGGCCGGCCGCGGTAGGCCCCGGGGAGGTGCGGCTCTGGGGTGAGGCGGTGGGCGCCGGTCGGGGGCGGCCTGGTGGCTCTGTTGCTTTAGCATTGGTTTGTTTTATGGGCTTGCAACCTCTAAGACCGTACCCTTTGAATTAATCTTGAAAAATTAAAATAGAGCGTTGGTTAGCTCTTTACCTTGTGGTGTTGCCTGCATTGTCTCTTCGGAGTGGAAAGTAATAGCTTCCTAAAGAGTAGGTGCTCTAGGAATTAACTTCTTGGTATATGACTGTGTTTTGTTTCTCGTAACTTTTTCAGGAATGTAGTTTGTGGAAATCTTAAACGCTATTTCAGTTTTCAGAATCAGCGTTGCATTTTAGCCAAAAAGTGGCACATACGGTAATGTTGGGATTTGTATGTCTGTGAAAACTTCTGTAAGAAAGGCCTGGCTTTCCTCGCCAAAAACAGAGGATGCAGAGAAACCTTCAGAAGCTGCGTTTGATGTCTGTCTTTAAATAGTATGGTTGACCACTTTCTATGCAATTGCCACCTGTCTACTGATAATAAATTGTTCTGGTTTACCTTCTTATGGTCTGTAATATCCAATTAAATTAAAGAGTGTGGGAGGGATGTCGCTGCAGCTGGGAGTTGCTCTTCCCCTTTTCTTAAGGGGCCTCCAAAGGCAATCTCTTTCTCTCAATGACAACACATTTTCTGTTTATGAAAGAGTTTATGTAGGCTCCAGGGTCACAACATGAGTGGGTACCCTCCTTTTATTTCCCAGAGAGCTAGTCTGAGAAGCTTCTGTATGTAATGGGGCTTGTCAGGAAACTGAAGGAAGAAGAGTTTGGGATGTTAAAGGAGACGAGTCTGTGCTCTTTGTGGGCTGGTGAGGCCAGGCAGTGAATGGTCTGGCCTTTTGTGTGAGCAAGTTGGCTACCAAGTCCGTGCCTGCTGCCTGCAGCAGCCTCTCTGTGCTTTTGGGGCTGCTCAGTTGAGAAATGTATTGCTCCGCAGCTGCTGTTGTTTGAAGGCGACAGTTTCTTAAACAAGATAGATAAAACTGTGGTGAGATCCATCTCTGAGCAGGAATTTCAAAATATGTTTTGTAGTCAAGGAGGTTGTTCACCATTAGCAGGGGTCACTGTGTACAACAGAGACCTGTTTATAGTGTGAGTTCAGAATGTTCTCAAAGGACACTTTACTTTGTTTCCAGTTACTTGTGCTGGCTGAGGCTGGAAACAATAGATAAAATGTCTCCATGGGCAGCTCCCCGTTCTGGAGGAAGCATTTAATGCTCAGTCAGTTGTTTTTTGTCACTGTGGTTTTGAGAACCTTGGTGATCTGAGAAGCCAGAAGGACTGTGGACAAGTTAAACCTCAGGGCAGGTGACTACAGTATGAACTTGCTCTAGTGAGAAGGTGAATGCTTGCTTTCAGACTTCAAATTTTAGCCTTACTGAGCCTTGAAAGCAATTTAATTTGCAGGAGCTCTATTCAGTCTTCTGATTTTAGCTGCTTTTAAAGCGTTATTCTTGTACAGTCCCTTTCTCCTTGCAAAACATCAGAACACTTGAAATTTGTCTGTAGGCTTCAGTGCAGCTGTTGAATTAACTGTAGCAATTAACTGGAAATACAACTTTTTAATAGCTTAAGTACTGTAGAAGAAAAAACAGCCATGTTGAGCTTACCCCAATCAGTTAATCCCTTTCAAGTCTTCGAACTTAAGTGTTTCAAGTCTGTAAACACAGGTTTCCATTTAGTTTTTCTGAAGTGTGATACGTGGCAAGGGATTGTCTTGTAGTTTATCTTACTTGTTACTGAGGTCCCTGCGACTGTCATTGGGCATGTTCAAACCCACTAACTACAGCAATGTTAAGCTTCCTGATGCTATTGCAATAGCAGTTTAGACTGTTAGGCAGGGAAATGTGATGATTTATCTTCCAAACCATCCTGGCTGTGGGATATGAGGCCAGCAGAGCTGAGGACCACCATAGAGGTGGCAAAAATGTGAAGCAGTACAGAATTATAACAAAATGTAGTCTGAATTTGGGCAGATTTTCTTCAGGTAGGTTCTGGGAATTGTTAGTAGATGTTAATTCTTAAAATGTTTGTCATTTCAGGTGCGGGTTGTTCTCAAGTATCGGCACTGTGATGGGAACCTCTGTATCAAAGTAACAGATGATGTTGCTGTAAGTACGGAACATGTTTCTCTTTCAGGGCTTATTGTACCTCACAGGGACTTGTGTTTTGCTGTCAGCTTGTGAGCTCTTAGCCATTGCCTTGAGAGTCCCTGACAGTTTCCTAAAAACTTCTTGTGCTCAGACTTCCCTGGTTACTGTGTCCGTGACTGACACTGACGTGTGGTTTCACTCTGCACGGTCCAGGAAAAGTTCCAACACTTCAGTGTCCTTTGTAGGTCTCAACGTCATTATTTTAGGTTTCTGTGAAAACAAGCACTGCTAAAATCTCGGATCTTCTCTCTGCCTGATAGGATAATAGAGCTTAGCGTGGGTGAGATGTTGAGTGTGGAGCACTGATAACAGAGAAGGGCAATTAAATTGAAATCTTCTGCAGGGGAAGGCTGGAGTCAGGCAATTAATGAACGGGGACTGTTTCAGCTGTTACACGGGTCAGGGGGCAGGGGCTTGGTTTGTTTTTCTATTTTTGGTGGTGTTTTTTTTTTTCCTAAAGGTGGAAAGGGAAGTTTTTCCTTGCTGCTAACTCTGTAGAGCTAACATAGCTGAAGGCAAAAGTAAACTGTTTTTCTACTGTTTGTCTCTGAATTAAAATGGGAATTTAATGCTGTCAAAAAGTTGCTGTGTTGACAGCACTGAAGAATGGAGCATTCTGGGGTTTTTCCATTGTTAACTCAGCCTGGGCAGTTGTACTGCTGCTGTACAGGTGTAAGGAACTGCTTAGTCCGCAAAAAACCTAAGCGGTCTTTCTGCGATAAATCAGCGGTGTATTACTTGTGTTCCTTTTGCATTCACAGGCTTGTCACATGAAGGAGTTCCTTTTGATCTTACTCAGATGTTATGTTCCTTATTTAGGGCTGTCTTAGAAACAGATTTTACTTGGGGGAGGGGATCCTCTTCAGTGGAAATACGGACCTGATTTTATGTCACTGGTGGTGTAACGTTAAGGACTTTGAAAGGCAAAATAAACATGCTTTCAGAATATAGAGCATAGGGAATTAATTTCAGGTTTAAAATCTGCTTCTGTTTTCAGATAGCACAAACAAAGGTGGCTTTTAAAGACAGCTTTAAAAGCCAAGTTTTAGCACCTCTTTTGAGAGAGAAGAAACAATCATGAGCTACCCTACTTTGAAAATGGAAGGTATGAGCCTTTCAGAGAAACTTAAATGTAAACACAGGTGTGTGTGTATTTTAAACCAGGATAGACATGTGTTGGTGCTGCTTCATGGTAACAACGTGCCACAAATGAACGTTTTAAGTACTTACCTTGCTTTGCGTGTTCCAAGCGCAAATTTCTTGCAATTACCAAGAGGCTAAAAATGTGGAAACTGATATTAAGCAACTTTCTCTTCCAGTGTTTGCTGTATAGAACAGACCAGGCGCAAGACGTAAAGAAGATCGAGAAATTCCACAGTCAGCTGATGCGACTCATGGTGGCGAAGGAATCCCGCAGTGCTGCCATGGAAACGGACTGAAGTGCTGCAAATAAAATGAGTGCTCCGGTCATATTTCACTGGAAGAAAATTATCTCTTGGATTTGAATGAATACTGGGAGAGGAGATGCTTTTATGTACCGAAGTGAACTGATGACAAAGGTGAAGCATTTCCCCCCCCTCTGCAAGACTCTGCTTTGGAAAACTAGGGAAATAAATGCTTTCAATTGAAAGCTTATATTTATTTTTGAGAATCAAACAAGAAACTATTCTTACACATTAGGTATAGTAAGAAGACAAGTAAATATTTTAAATCTACAGTACTTTAGTCTGAATATGATGGGCCACAAGCATATTTCTGGCAAGTTACTATAAAATTTTGTGTAGATTTCTTTGTGTTCATGCCTTATGCTGGTGTGTTCTCCCATGAGAAGGGTTATTAACGAGCACTGTAGCGTGATGACTGGATCGAAGAACTATTTCTGTAAGTGATATCCATCAGTAGGGTTTAGAAGAACGGATGTTTTCTGAACTGAAAGGTTAAAATTGCCAATTTGTATTAGCACTGTCACTAGCAAGACTTTAGCTTTTGGTATTGATCTTTTTGGTATTAAGCTGTGCAGCACTGTGGGGTGCAGTTTGTAGACCAGTTCTATCGGCTGAATGATCAAAATTCTGTATTTTAGAACGTCAAGTAAAACTTTGCTAGAATATTGCTGCAGCTCGGTGAGAAAAGGGGACTTTCTTTTCTGCTTATGCAAATACTATTATTAAAAAATAGCCAGTGGCTTTTTTTTTCCAGTACTTGAAGTATTTTATACTAGCAGGGAGGGAGCTTTTCCTCTCTTTGCTTCAGGCAGAGTTGAAGTATATCAGCAAGACCAATTCTAGAAGCTGTTGCCTATTATGTTAATAGAAAAAATGCAACCAAACACTATCCAGATTCCTTATTTTAGCAGCTTGCTAACTGTGCGTTTTCAAATGTTACATGTGGCAGATGGATGTCAGCCAACTAAATAAATGGATGAAAACCAGCTTAATAAATACTTAAATACCACTGTCAAAAATAGCTCAATGCTCCTGTGGCTTAGACTCGTTTCTCGTTGTTACCTCTGGTAGGGTGGTGGAAGCCTTAATTGTCTTTTGCAAAGGCTTTTTGCTTCAAAACCCAGTAGCTGAAATTGATACTTGCTTTGACTAGATCTTGCATACTTATAACCAGATGAGTATTTTAATGTAATTATGCTATTGGTATAACTAGGCTTTTCCAGCACTAATGTTTTGTGTTAAAACCAAGCCACAAAAGTAAAGCAGAGTCATACAGAGACTTGTCTGTGGTGGCATTTATGTATAACAAAACAATCTACTTCAATAGCTACCTGCTGTCACTTACATAAAAATAATTGAGCTGCTTGGAAGCAGGGAAGTTCCTACATTTGCCAAGACCTCAGAAAAAAAAACCCCAGACTTGAATATTGCATTAGAGCACCCCTTCAGCTGAGCATAGAACATTGTGTATTGTTGGAAAATACTGCAGTGCTAAATTCCCAGTGGCTATCCAGTTCTAGTCTGCAGGAGTGACCGGTACCCGTGGAACATTTTTCTTTTTGTATTGCCTTTTGAAATACAAATAAATCCAGAGAGAAGGGTAAATTTTATTCATAGTTAATCTTAAATGAGATACTGTAATGCTGAAAATTTTTCTTGATGCTTCAAGTCATTATCTCAATATTTACAGTATGGTATATTAAGTAGTTAAACCATTTTTTGTCTAAAACACTGTTCTGCAGTATGAACGGTTGCTGAACTAAGTCATGCAAGCAAAGATTTAAGCTGTTAAATTGGCAGGTGAAAAGGCAGCAGCTATTTTAGTGTAATTTTTGGCCATCTCGTATATTGGTTTGGCATGGAGAGGTCTGCTGTGAGCTGAGGTACAGAAAGGCTGGAGTGGCTGGAAGGATAAAAGAGAGAGAGAGAAGCCTTTGGTGAACCAAGTGGCTGAAAGGCTTAAGCTATGGACTTAAGCAGGTTTTGGAGGGGGGCAATTACAGCATCATCCGTATATTAGAGTAGCAGTTGTCAAGCAAAAGAGACGGGGAAATAGATTTCTAGTTTTCTAACTTCAGAAATTATTTCTGTAAAACTATATGGAAATATTAATGCTACTTTTGTAAGATCTTTTGTTGTTCAGCTTGTTCTTCCTATGCTCCCAGAAAAAAACGGGGCAGTTGTGTGAGGACATAATACACAAGAATATTGATAATATGGAGAGGTCTGCTGTGAGCTGAGGTACAGAAAGGCTGGAGTGGCTGGAAGGATAAAAGAGAGAGAGAGAAGCCTTTGGTGAACCAAGTGGCTGAAAGGCTTAAGCTATGGACTTAAGCAGGTTTTGGAGGGGGGCAATTACAGCATCATCCGTATATTAGAGTAGCAGTTGTCAAGCAAAAGAGACGGGGAAATAGATTTCTAGTTTTCTAACTTCAGAAATTATTTCTGTAAAACTATATGGAAATATTAATGCTACTTTTGTAAGATCTTTTGTTGTTCAGCTTGTTCTTCCTATGCTCCCAGAAAAAAACGGGGCAGTTGTGTGAGGACATAATACACGAGAATATTGATAATGCTACTGCTTAAAAAAACAAAAAAAAACAAAACAAAAAAAAAACACCACAAAAAAAAAAACAAACAAACAAACAACAAAAGCTTTTGGAAACTTCTTCAGGAAAAAAACCAGGTGCTTCTTGACTTTGTCCTGGAATTTTCAGCAACTTCAGTACTGTGTGGCAAGAAAGCTGTGAACCCAAAGCTCTGCTTTTTTGTCTCTTGTTGAGAGTGTGTGTGTGTATGTGCACAAAGGGCTTCCCAAATCAACTTCCAATGAGTTAGTCCATCATATTGCCAACTACTTGAATGCATCCCCTGGTATGTGATGAAAAAAAAAATCAGCTTAATGTGGGTGCTGCACCAAAGGGGTGGTTGAATGTGTGGCATGAGAAGCACTGAGTTTGGCAGCCCAGCGTGTTGGCAAATGCTTCTCGTTACCAGCTGGGAGCTGGTGCCAATTACAGGCAGCACTGGAGCAGATGGGCAGCCTGTCCAGCTATAGACAGGCGGCCTTCTTTGCAGAAGATTGCAGATTTAAAAAAATAAAAAAAGAGGATATTTTCCATTGCTATAGCTAATCTTGTCAGTGTGTGTGACTTCAGCAATTGTTCTGTTTTGTGAGAATGGTTTAATAAAGAGTATGGGTCTTGTTAGTGCACAAAGAGATTGGATTAGTTTACCCATGGAATTTATTCTGGTTTTTGGATGTTTTCACTTCTTGGATTCTCAGAGTGTCTCCGTTTCAGTTCTGCCATTGAGCAGAGCACTTCAGCTGACTTTGTGTCTGAGCTCTCTCTTAATGTGCAACTACATCACTTTGGTTTTCCTTCAGAGGTTTTAACCTTGAGATTCTCTGTGTGTAGTCCTTTTTGTAAGTGGATTCTGGATTACAGGAAGACCCTGAAATTATCTGTACAAGTGAGGCTTTTGGTCACAGGTGTCTGTTCTAGAGATCCTTATGAAAGAGGCCTTTGTTTCCACTAAAGTCCTAACCTACCACTTTCAAAAGGGACGGATTTATTCTGAAAAAAGGGATGCTTTGGTGCCTGAGGCTGTCAAAATGAGAAATGGAACTGAAACCAAGCAGGTGCTTTTTCAAAATGTTTTAACTTGTCAAAATAATTGTATTTCATCTCAGTAAGTTCCTTCCTGCAGTATAAGAGTGGGTAATACTCTATGTTTTGCTGTAATAAATGAGTAGAAACCCTGGCTTCTGCCCAGTGAGGTCAGTAAGACATAGATGATCACTTATTACCTACCATAGATTGATTTTTAAAGGATGCTGTCGTCTGGCAGGTGTGTCAGTCCTCTTGCGAGAGCCGGAACAAATCCTCTCACTTCATCCATCGTAAGTAAGGATGTTAACACTCTGCTGTTCCCTGGGCTCTTTTCACTTCTCTCCCTGGCTGCTTAAGGGAAGATAAAATTCTAACACAGAAATGATACTGTAACCCCATTTAAAATTAAGGTTGATATCTAAAGTGGAAAAATAAATATATAACAAATAGGTGTGGGGTTTTTGTATAGCTTATTCTCATCTAGGCTGCATATTTCCACAAGTCTAGTTCCCTTCGAGAGTCTGTGAACGTTAGAGGGGGACTTGAGGGAGCAGGAGCAGAGCTGAAAACAGTGTTATTCTTTGTACAATGCTCTGGGCTGGTGTAACTTAAATTGACTGAAACAAAGCTGGTTTGGTCAAGCATATCTAAAGAGTCATCTTGTGAACATACTTTAAAAAAGGTATCTGCTAACTGGTTTTGTTTTTTGGGATTTTTTTAATGGAAACTAGTCTATGAAGAACTACATCTAGTTTTTGCTTAAGTTAATAATTTGCTTTTCAAGGCACGGGGGTGTCTGCTCTGAAAAGCTGTTAGATGCTGTGACTCAACATAACTGTTTGTTTATATAAAGATTTTATCCCTTACAAAGGCGTTGAGAGTTCAAGGACTGGTATTTAAATACAGGCAGGAGTCGAATTGTCTTTGTTGCTGGGGATGACATGAAAACATGCCTTTAATCTCTTACTGCTTTTACAGTAAGTAGACTCTAGACTCATGTCCAGATAAACCTAGGTCCTGTAGGATGCTGTTCTAACAGACTGAATGCTCTCAGGAGAATGTGGGCTGAACCTGGACCACATAAAGCTGAAGTCTGTGGGAACTGGGCCACTAAAACCACGGTGGGTGCTGTGGCAGAGTTAACGGCCTTCGTGCAAGTACAGGCCCCATTGTTGAAAGGAGTCTTTGTTTCTGGTGAAGGTACCTCTCATTTTCTTACACTCTGCCAAAGCTAGTTACGGGTGTGTGTTCTCTGAGTCCTGTAATGGGAGCATCCTAAGCCATGAGTGACCGTGGTGAGTCCACCCTGGCTGGACGCCTGGTGCCCACCAAAGCTGCTTTCTCACCCCCCTTCCTCAGCTGAACAGGGGAGAGAAAATACAATGAAGGGCTCGTGGGTTGAGATAAGGACAGGGAGATCACTCGGCAATTACCATCACAGTGAAAATCGACTTGACTCAGGGAAAATTAATTTCTTGCCAATCAAATCAGAGTAGGGTAATGAGAAAGTACAACCAAATCATAAAATACCTTTCCCCTACTCCTCCCTTCTTCCCATCCAATCAAATCAGAGTAGGGTAATGAGAAAGTACAACCAAATCATAAAATACCTTTCCCCTACTCCTCCCTTCTTCCCATGCTCAACTTCACTCCCAATTTTCTCTGCTTCCAACCCCTGAGTGGTGCAGGAGGATGGGGAATGGGTGTTGTGGTCAAGCCCTGAGTGGTGCAGGAGGATGGGGAATGGGCGTTGTGGTCACTTCATCATGTTGTCTCTGCTGCTCTTTCCTCCTCAGGGGGAGGACTCCTCACACTCTTCCTCTGCTCCAGTGGGGAGGTCCCTTCTGTGGCAGACAGCTGGGGGAGGACTCCTCACACTCTTACTCTGCTTCAGCTGGGGAGGTCCCTTCTGTGGCAGACAGCCCTCCATGAATCTCTCCAATGTGAGTCCTTCCCTCATCTGTCTGTCTTGGAGCTGGCTGGCATTGGCTCTGTTGGACATGGGGGAAGCTTCTGGCTGTTTCTTGAGGAAGACACCCCTGTAGCCCCCCCGCTACCAAAACCTTGCCAGGCAAACCCCATACAGTGCCATCTCTGAGCACTGTTGAAAACACCCTGAGCAAGAACCAGTGCTCAACACACGAGTCCTCCCCACACCGATGGTTCTTGGGTGTCATGAATGTTGATATTCTTATATTAAGGGGACAGTGTGTCTCTTAAACTGTAATGTTGGTAGTTCATGAAAGTGTTTTCTATTTAAATCAAGACCAGCTCTGAGGATATTTTTCTTTGTTATTGTAGCAAGTTTTGATTTTGTGCTCGCATTTTTCTATCCCCTTTTTTGTGGTGATTCTTAGTCATTTTGTGAGAACTTAAAGCATCAGTCATACCGAGAGGTCTGGGAGAAATTGGGGTTTTTTTATTTCCTTTGAAGTTGTGTTTGCATGTTGGATTCTTTTTTTTTTGTCTAGAAGTGGTATCTGTTCATAGAAGGGCTAATCTGCATTGTTCAGCTTATACAGAGCAGAATTTTCCTGAGCATAGGCACGCGTTTACAGCAAGATTTCAAAGACTGGGTTCTTGGAGAGGGGGTTGAGTTTTCTGGACACCTACTGGATGGCTTTTCTGGCTGGTAGTGAGCAAATGAGAATTTGCTGCTCGCATTGGCCAGCAAAAATACGTATTTTTAACTGGGTTGCTCATGCATGTAAATGCAGCCATCTATAATAGAGTTCAGCTGGCATTATGTGGCTAAAAGATGAAAGGCTCGCCTCGGGGCACTGACAAATGAGCTCTGGAAAACTGTGTGTGTGGCTTAAAGATGTTACCTCCCAAAGGCATCTGCTCCTCTAAGGAGCCAGCAGGAGGACAAACTAATGCCTCGGACATGTCCGTGTGACAGTCAATGGCTGTCTTTAAAAATTGCCATGAAAGATACCTTTTAAATGTGGGGGCATTAAATGCTCTGTAAGGTACACGCCATACAATGCCATACAACAGAAAAAACTTAGCTGTGTCTGCATTTGTTTCTGTATTCTAGTTCCTATGGACAGAACAGGAAGTGTGGAGCAGAAGATGGTAGGTGATATTCTCTCTAAAGGCCTCTAAAACACCAGTAGTGGGAGATTCTGCTTTGTCACACTTGCAAAGAGTAGGTGTCACAGCAGCATCAATAACAAACTGCGTGACCAACTTCCTTATCCAATAACAGGATAAAATATTTTTTTCTTGATATCAAAAAGAGCTCTTAGGCTTTAGCAAACGAGAAGATCCTTCAGCTCAGACTGTGTTGGAGCATCCACCTGGATTGTAGCAACTGATTTACTTTTCTGTACTGCAAATTGCATACTATTTGACATTGTTTTACCTGGCTGAGGACTGCCTAGCAGTCTACAACTTGTAGTCATTACGTATCAGCAAGTCTCCGTTATAATTTGTCATCAATATCTGTCTTTTAAAAATAATTCCTTATATCGTAAGATAAAAACTGTTTTCCAACCCCATCTGTTGCTCTTGGTTTCTCTGTGCTCATATGAATCTCTGTCAGTTCTCTGCAGTTCCCCTCACACCAGTAGTCCCATCAGTTTCTGTGGTGGCCATCTCTTCCCCTTAATTTCTGTTTGCTTAACGAACTCCAGCAGCTTTAAAGGTGGAGATAACGCTGTGTCATGTTGCTCTATCTCAGCTCAAGACTCTAAAGCAAAACTACCTTTAAGGAATGCCAGACCATGGAGTCGCTCATGTTTTTTATTTCTCTTATTTAGAATCATAGAATTTCTCAAGTTGGAAGGGGCTCATAAGGATCATCAAGTCCAACTCCCACCTCCTCACAGGACTATCTAAAACTAACCCATATGACTAAAAGCATCATCCAGATTCTCCTTAAACTCTGACAGGCTTGGGGCTGGGGACCACTTAGCTGGGGAGCCTGCTCCCCTGCATGCTCTCAATGAAGAAACTTTTCCTGATGTCCAATCTGAACTTCCCCTGAGGTGGCTTCATTCTATTTCCTCATGTCCTGTCGCTGGTCACCGGAGAAGAGATCAGCTGCCCTTCTGCTGTCCCCTGTGAATAAGCTGTGATCTGTGATGTCACCCTTCAGCCTTCCCTTCTCCAAGCTGAACAAGCCAAGTGACCTCAGCTGCTCTTCAGATCTCTTGCCCTTGAGACCTTTTACCGTCTTGGTGACCTTCCTCTGGGCTCACTAATAGTTTGAGCTCCGTATTTTGAGGTGCCCAAAAGCCATGGGGCCTAAGAGACCTGCTCAACAACCAGAAGCATCGTATGTCAAGTACTGTCAAAACACAGAGGAAACTAATAGTTAATGAATTGGCAATTTAAGAGCATTAACGACCACAGGAAGGCGTATACGTAAGAGTGATATCTCCACGGTAGGAACTTTGAACTACCCTGTCAGCTTCGTGAAAGGAAGAAGTGGAAGGCATTGAAGAGGTAACAGGGTGCCTTCCTGGATGACTGAAGACACCTGATTTAGGAGTATGGGACACCCTGGATAAAGTATGAAACTACATCTTTAACAAGTTATAGAGGCTGAAGTTACTGGCTAGGTAGAGATTGGAGCTTAGTTAACTTGGAGCTAAGTAGAGATTGGAACTTGTTATTTTTATAACAAATAGGGGACAGATGAAATGAAATTTTTCATTAACTAAAATAGTCAAATACAGTATCTATATGGTAGCTGTAATAAAATGTTATGACAGTGGGACATAATACAGTTGCATTTTTATCAACTATCCTATAAAAGTTATGTTTTACTGTGAAATTCAACACTGTCTTACTTGTATGCTTGTGAAACGCCCGTTGTCTCGCAGAAGAAAGATGGGTTGCTACTAATTCTTTTGGCATCTCAAGAAAAGTAGTGTGGAGCTGCTGGTGAAGACAGATGCCCCAGAAGGAGCGGAACTCTTTGCCAGCATGTTTGCTGTGGAAGAAGAAAACAACAAAAAAAGACAAGCCTTACTTATAGAACAGTTTAAGTTAAACAGTTGCTTTAGAACAGATTACTTTTTTTTTAATTGAACTGCTATTGCTTCTCAGGAAAAGAGCAGGAGAACTGCACCAAATGCTCCTTGGGCAAAGGAGTGCCTGAGCAGACTGGGGTGGTTGGGTAGAAGAGATTGAGAGGTGTGAAGGGAATTGTTATCTGTGACCACAAGTCTGTTTGTTAAGGCTTCTCTTCAACAATCAACACAAGAGAACGGAGTTGGCGTGGAGGTGACATCGCAATATTGGAACCTGGGAGTGGAGTGATAGATGAAAACTGAGATTGAATGGGGAAAAAAACCTCGATGAGCCAATAAGGAAGATAAATTGCTTGTATGTTCTTACTGATGGGATTAGATTTTACAGCTTGACCTTCTGAGGCTCGCTCTGACCAAGTTTGGAAGACAGGCCTTGGAAAACACGAGTTTGGGGGAAAAGCACCCGTTACCTGTGTTCTCGGTGTGTTTTTTTTTTTTTTTCTGTGAGGCACAGGTTGGTACCCGGGCAGGTGGAGCAGCCTGAATGCATTTCTCTTGGAGAAACGGTGTGGCGAGTGCTTGGTGAGGTTGGCCGAGAAGCCATTTAGGAAGCTCACAGCTGGTGCCACCCGTTCCGTAGTTGCTGCCTGGCTGTGCCCCAGGCCTGCCCCTACAGCAGGGAATTACATTGCTGGGCTGAAGTGTGTAACCCTGTGCCGGGGAGCCCAGGTAGCCCCCAGGTGCTAATAATTCCCCAGGGGGGGCTCCATGGCGGGGACACGAAGGTAAAGGCTTCGCGGCCCATGGCGGGGGATAAGGCCGCGGCCGACCCGCACCGCCCAGCCCGGGCCGAGCCGGGGAGGGCCTCAGCGGCGAGAACTACATCTCCCAGCGGGCTGCGGGACGGAGGGGCCCGGCCGACAGCCTGCCCCTCTCCCGGCGGGGCGGAGAGGAGAGGAGAAGCCAGGCGTGCACCCTGCCGGTCCCCGCTCCGGCAGCCACAGGTAATGGCGGGCGGGCGAGCGGGCCGGGGGTGGGGTGTGAGGGGAGGCCACAGCTCCCTTCTCCTCAAGGGGAGGAGGCGCGAAGCCCCGCGGCGGCGGGGTCCTGCCTCACCTCAGCCGCCCGGTGGGGACAGGGTGGGTGTGTGTGTGTATGTGGAATGGTGCCACGGGGGGTGTGTGTGTGAAATGGTGCCGGGGTGTGGGTGGGTGTGTGTGTGTTGGGGGGTGTGTGTCGCTGTTTAAAGCGGGCTCTGCGCCTACATGCCTTAAATACCATCGTCTGAAAGAGTGTGCGCCCCTCTGCCAGCATCAAAATACTATTATCAATGGGTGTTATTAGTCTGGATCACAACGGTGGGGATTTTTTTGGGTTGATTTCCTGGACGGGAAGGTCCTGATCAGCTTTTCTTTGGGGGAAAGGGAGTTGGGGGTGTAGATGGGACATACCCTGGATTGAGCCTGGGTTTTTGTCCTGGCCCTTTCTGCTGACAGTACTGATGGGAACAACAAGTTTATTTAGCCTTCATTGGGAATCTGGCCAGGTTTTCCTGGTTTAGGGGGAGTAAGTGGCTGTAACTTTTAGCTTATAAACGGGTTTAGTCTGTTCTTGGTTTGGTTTTTGTTTTTGTTTTTTTTTTAAACTCATATCTAAACCGGGAATATGAAATTTAACTTTCTCTTTTTTTCTTTCCTCTAATGGGCCATTTGCCAAACCTGAAAATGGATTGAGTGAGCACCGTATACATAGTTACATAGTTCCCTTTGCTGAACAAGCATTTTAGGAGTGAGGAAAAAACGTTTTTAAGTTTAACGACCATATTTTGTTGCATAACTGAGCAATCTGCAAAGATGAAGCAAACAACATGCTTGCTCCTCGGGGTTGGCCAGTTTGTCAGAATTCAGCTGGGATTTTGACTGGGTTGCCCTGCAGTTAAAACTTGTCCTAATCAAGTGTATTGCTTCATTTTCCAATTCTGTTGAGGTAGTCCGTTTTGTCTTATTTTCGTTAACAGAGCTTTACTGAAAATAGGCAAACTCACATAGCTGTTGTAGGTGAACCCGGGAGATGGGATGAGTCTTAGAAGCCACTGCCTGAAACTTACTTCTCTGGCCACAAATGTGGGGTTAACGATTTGATTGGCGCTGTTCCTTTTGAGATGCTGTGCATCTCCTCTGCAACGGATATTACCCCTGTCTGAAGTAAGCTAAAACTGAGACTTGAGTGCACAAATTGCTAATGCTTACTGAAAATCGATGGGAGAGAGGCACCAAAAGCAATTAGGCAGCTTTGAAAAATCAATCCGCAGCTGAAGTTGTCCAAGGACAAGGATTAGATCTTTGTCAGAGCTGAAGTCTTTGTGGGGAAGGTCCTGGCACGGTGTCAAGTTCGTGACTCTTTGTTCTACATCGTTCCCAGTCTGAATTCATATATAAAACTTGTGTGTGATTTGCTTGAACTCCGTTTGTTTGTTAATTCTTTTGAATTGTTATTTTTTTCATAGGGGGAATCATGATGTTGAAGTAAACAATTAGAAGTAGAGCAGAGTGGGTAATAAACAGTGCGGCCTGAAGTTTGTCTTTATGAATTGCCCAAAATAGGTTTGGAATTATTGAGTGTTTCAAAAGGCCTTTTTCCCCCCATCTTGATCTCCTATACTTCTTGTGTTTGGTCATTGCATAGGATAATTCCATGTTTATCTCGGGTTTCAGCAAAGCTTTCAGACGTACCGAGTATTTCTAGCCAGAGAAGTGCAATGTTTTGGTATGGTAAACACTGTGAAACAAGTTCAGGCTTCTTAGTAGAATATACATGGCCAATTTGTTCGAAGTAATTACAGCAGGTACATAAAAAGGTTTGGGGTAATAATTCCTGAATGGTAATAGTCCCAGAAGTTCTTGTTTCTTCAGTAATAGTTTGTCAAGTAATTTGTCGGCAGGGAAGCAGGGATGGGGGTGGTAAGTGAAGTATAGCTTATAGCTCTAGGCAAAATGAATTGATTATCTTGCATATTCCTATGCATAATTGCTTGTATTAGAGTCGGAGTATTCAAATTTTGTGGCCAGACAAGCAGAGGTAAAGCTTTACCTGTGTGGTAGAGCGTGCACTGCTTCCTTGAGTCTGCAAGAGTATTTTCTTCATGCCACGCACAGTCCTAGAACTGGGGCAGTCGTCTTGAATGTGCAAGTTCCACACGTGGCAAAGAGATCTCTAATTACTGCCTAGGTCCCTAAAGAAAAGTCACTTGGAAGTAGAGTGTCTTGCCTCTCTCTCTGAAGAGCTTGGTCTGCTTGTAATTAATGCTGAAAACACTTTTTTCCCTTCTGAGTACTGCTACTGGAAGAAGTCCTGGAGTCTCCTTCTGAACACGGTATTTTTAATTAAAAGCATCATTGTACGTGCAAATGGGTACCTATGTAAATAGTAAAGCACAAAAATCTACTTGTAACACAGTTTGCTTTAATATCTTGGTCACACTAGACATAGCAGGATGGTGAACACAACAATTTGAATATATGCTGGATTTTATGGGTTGGTTTGGTTGGTTTGTTGTTTTGGGGTTTGGTTTTTGGGAGTTTTATTTGGTTGGTTGTTTTGGTTGGTTGTTTTTGTGGTGTTTTTTTTTTAAATGCAGCATTATCAGCTTTGATACATATTCAAGCATATTGTTATTGATCAAATACTTTCTGATTGGCAGGGCTGGGAATACTTTGGTGGGAATCATGGTAGCTGTGCTTTGTTAGTTGCTTTTCCCAATAGTGTATGATACCAACTCCTGGTGCAGTTGCCAGAATGAGGAAATCAAGTGTGATCATGTTTGTGGAGGGATCCTCTGGGAGTAAAGAATAGGAGCTGTTTTCTAGGTTTCTTCTCTGAAAAGTGAGCTGTTCTCCAACATTCCTCCACTTGGGTTTTTTTGAAACATCTCTGTTGGATGTGATTAAGTGTAATCCACAAGAAAAATAAAGCCTCAGCAAACATTTTTTCCCCCCTCTTCATTCTTTCTCTACCTCAAGCAATTCTTTTTATATTTCTTGTGCCCAGCAGTAGTTTTTTTCCTATTATTTATTTCATGTTGAACTCTGCAATGAAGACACACGACTGTCATTTGTTCTGTATGTGCCCACCATGTCTGTACCCTGGGTATGCTTTGCTGCCCAGTGCAAGATGAATCTTTCTCTAAGGTTAGTTAGTTGCATGTTATGAATCAAAAATAAAGCTCTAGTTCTGTTGGCTGCTCCATCATGAGAGCTAATTGTTCTAATTTGGTGGTTACAGGTAGTCACTTTTCTAGGTGAACCCCTTAAATCCAAAGCGAACTTAAATATTTAGTTGTTATTAAGAGAGAGATGAAGTAGCAAGAATCGTTCCTGTTACATGTTTACTCTGGCACATCCTTTTGGTGTTGCAGTTATTTGACAGAAAATGATGACTACCATCTGTTCCCCTCCTCTCTCATCATTTAAAGTTCCTTTTCTCTTTGAGACTGAAGTCCTCAGAGAGAGATAACAAGTTTCTATCTCTTCCTGTTTCCATAGTCACAATTTAAAACAAATAATATTTTTTTTCTTTTACACTCTTGTACACGTTTTTGTTTATGATGCCCTTACTACTTGGAGTCATGATCCTAATTTAAATTTACAGAGTGCACCTTGTCTTGCTGTCTTGCAGATTGCCAGAGATTTCCTCTGGCAGTCTTTATATTCATCGTTTCCGTCTCCACACCATCTTTTAATGGAAAGATTGTCATATACTTTGTTCTTACGTAGTTTGAAGTGCAAGATTTCAAACTGTTTGCACTCTTTTCCCCTTTTTCCCCTCTAAGGCACCCGTATGTGTCAATTCTGCATGTGTTAATAACTACAGGTTCTAGTAACACAGTTTTCTAACAGCGCTAATACAAAAAGCTTGTAAAGCTGCTAGTTAAAGAAGTCTTTCCCTCTCTGGTTTCATGGAAGGCAACCTTTTACTCTTCAGTACTGGAGGATTTGGTGAAGTTAAAAATAGAGCCTGAATTGCCCTTAAGGCCTGAGGAACAATTACCTCAATCTCATTTTCTTATCTGTAATATCGAACTCTTCTGGTTCACCTGCACTTTTTTTCCACCCCCTCCGTAAAAGGCGGATGCCGGCATAGGATGAGGAGATTAACCTCGTTATTGCTAGAAACTCTGGTGGCAGGCAAACCAGAACGATGTGCTATTCATAACTTCAGATACTGGATGCTAAACGTTGAAGTTCAAATGGGATGTTCTTGGCAATCTGTTATATTGGACTGTGTCATTTAGGGGCTAAGAACTGTTTTAAAAACTTTTTACAGGCATGATATCCTTCCCTTTTTTTAACTCTAACGTGTGGTTTGAGGGAGTTCTGTCTAGGAGGCCCAGCTTTCACCCACAGGTTGTGTGCCATGCTTCTATCGCTTCTCTGCCTGCCTGCAAAAAAATTCTGCTGTTGTTGGAACTTGAGCGTAAAGGCTCGAGAGGATAAATAGGATAAAATCTTTGCATGATCTAACCTTAGTGTTTTAGCTAGCAAATGCGTTATTATGAAAGTTTAAACAGTTCTTTCACCCTTAATTAATTGTGGCTGAGCGGTGCTGATTTCAGAATCCTTTAGCAGGTTTTCTACAGATGAGTCCTAACCAGAAATTACTGCAGATGGAGAGCAGACCTCCCTTCCCCCGAATTGTGTGCATTGTCATTGGGTCACAGACCCATTGACACTGGGTCACAGATGTCCGTGTCTGATAATGGACATCGCACCGATCCTGGGTTGGATTCTGCCAGTTTGTGTTTATGTAGCCCACAGGCTTTTTTTTTAGACTCTTTGAAGGAAGTGGGTTTGTTCAATAATAGAAGCAAAATAAGGAAAATTGAGATAAACAAGACTTGTACTAACTGCCCTGAGTTCTGGGTGATAAGTACAAGCCTTACAGCGCTAGAGGCACGGGGTGTCCCTCAGCAGTGATGCAGGTGTATCCCCCAGCCTCTCCTGGCAGAGGCCTCGCTGTCCCCCTGGGAGAGAAACCCCCTGGGTTTCTCCTTCTTTGGGGAGGTGACTCCTTCCCTTGGTGGTAGTCTTCTAATTAGGTTCCTGCTGTACTGGCTAATTCCTGATTGCCAACAGTCCAGAAAAAGATTGTGGAACAAAATGATAACATCTCTTCCTGCTGTTTTGGAGATAGCATTGTGTGCCACTTCCCTATGGCAATAAAATAAATGTAAATGCTACATTTCTTATCGAGACAAGCCAGAAACTCTGGATTTGTATTTCCTGGCTTTGATTTGCTTCCCTGCATAGGACTCTTTGTTTCATCCAATGCCTACCTCTCCTCCTTTCCTAAAACCTTAACGGATCGCTTTATGCTCACCTGGGAGATCTCATCAGGTGTATGCAAAGCAATTCCTATGTTGCTAAGCTATTTTGAAGCTTGTCATAATGCTCCATAAACTACATAAATAGGCAGCTTTTCTTATACAAATGTCTTCACTTTGTGGTTTTCTTCTGTTTCTGGTGTGTTATAATGACAAAAATGTGATGCCTGGAGATGGTAGGAGGTAGAGTGAGGGTGAAGCTTCTGCGGCTGTGCCGTGTCTTAGTCCCTTTTAGGCTCCCAGTGCTAGGGGCACCTGTTATAGGTGCCACGAGGTTTTGAAGTCCTTCAGTGGGTTGTTTTTCCTTCAGATCTGTTGGGAAGAGAAACCTGCAATCGCTGTTCTTCAGGCAAACCGATCTGTAACCAAAGAGGCTGCAGCAGAGTGGTGTCTTTTCAGTAAAAGCTAATAGGGGAGTTTATGTAACACAACAAAAATAAATAGAAACATCACTTCTAAATTGAGCTGTTATTCCTCCTGCAGAGTAATTATTAATCAATAAACCTTGTATCTGACAGCATCAGAGTGTGCTGAGCTATCTTACAGCGTGCTCATAAACCAGCCTTGGGTTTCCAGATGTTAGGTTGAAAAGTCTTTCCAGTTGCTTATTTCTCCACTGATGTGTTCCAGGCCAATTCTAAAGCAAAGACCAGTAGAACAAGATGGGGATTTTACCATTAAGCTATTTCTTAGATGACCTCTCCAAAAAATTATTAGCACTGTTCTCCGGGGCATCTGTTACTAGATACTGATGAAAACAGGGCATAGCTTTCACGTAAATAATATTTGTTCTCTTCTTGTGGAGCTATTTGCTCTGCTGTTAATGCATGAACAGAGGACAGTGCAAATCAAAATGCAAAAATGCAAATAAGAGTTTTCAACAAGGAGTAGTAAGATGCTCTAAGAAACTTTTGGGGTTTTCTTGCAAACAACGTATTTCTTGAGGTGCACTTGGCCTTTTTCAAGAGGAGCTAGTTTTTGGGCTATTTACCAAATCCATCACACTTCAACATTTTTCTTTCAAAGCATGTTTTTAAAGTAGCAAAACAAAAACATTCTTCCTCAGATTCTTTAGGATAAAAGTACTGTCTGAGGTATTTAGGTGCTGTCTACAAACAATGTCCACCTTGGAGTACAGCAAAGTCTTGGAGCCTAAGCACTTGACGGTGGAATAAATGGAAATATTTCCTTCTGAGGTCTTGCCTTTGGTTGCATAAAAAGAGGAAAAAGCCAAAGTAAAACATGAACTCCCTTTGAAGTAGTCCTTTTTAAAGGCAACGTGCCAGCACGGTTGCATCAAGAGACTTTAGAGAATAAAAATACCAGCACTTTGTTGTTTACATCTCTGAAAACTGCAAGGGTAGAGAAGTTTTATTGTACCTGCTCTCCTTCCACATTCCTGGTGTGGTGTTAGGGAAGAAGTGCAAGGGGCTAATAACTTCCATCTCACAACAGCTCAGTAGTGATTAGCGGAGGAAATTCTGGTGCAGATGCGTCACGACTGAGGCTGCTTTATGCTGTTGAAATAACACACAGGAGTTTTAGAGAACTGACTTGAATAGCAAACTTGGGAAATCAGTGAGTACGTTTGCTCTAAGGGGTCTCCTCTCAGCATGGGCTGGAGGGGTTAGTGGGAGCGTGCTGCATTCCAGTAACTCAGAGCTGGCAAAAGAATCCCTTGGAGTGTGCTATGAACTGGTGCGAGTTAAAATACTGCTGACGCACTTTGCCCTTTCTCTTCCTCCTGTGCACTCAGAAAAGAAAAAAAATGTAGCATAGTTGGAGCTCTAGGCCCTAGTGTTTGTCATAATTAGGAATTTTGCAGGCACTTTCAAAGGAAGGGAGAGAGAATGAATATAGAGAGCAGCTTGGGATCTCTCTCTGTTAGCAAAAAACAATCCTACCGGTATCAGAGGCAGCTTCTTCCAAGTCAAAATGACATCTCATGCAAATCAATTTGTCACTGGCCCCAATTCGCTGCAATAGAAGACAGAACTTTTGTGAAATCTGAAATTGATTTTGGCACTTATTGTTGGATTGTAAACAAGCTCATCCTAAAGTCTGTCTGGAATTAATTGCAAAAAATGGCTATCTTTTCACATAGTGAGTTCTTTGTACATACGCTCCAGGGCATATGCAAAATACACAGGTTTGTATATACACCCACACCCACACATACCCACACCCTATGTCTTCTGCTGCAAAAATTCTGATTTCTCAAGTCCCCCTGAGAGCAAATGGGAAGAGCTGAAATATTTTTATAGTTCTGGGTACTCCAGTGACTTGGGACGTAGAAGTTTCTTGCGTGAGAATGGGCTGGGATTCTGTTCCTGGGTAGTGCAATTCCCTGTTGGGTGCTGTGCCTCTGTCACCACGTTGGCAGAGCCCACAGTGCTGATACACCATAATCCAGGAGAGAAATTTCTGGTTTTCTAGGTGTCCCCAGCCATCCTGCCTGAACGACGGGGCTGGCACCCACAGCAGCTCTTCTCTTGGTTGTTTGTTGTGGGGTTTTGTAAATGTACTGAAAGCTGGCCAAGAATGTGAATTTTTCCTACACGGTGTTTACATAGTTGTGCTGGGGAACCTTTGTAGTCTAGTCATGGCCTGAGCTGCGCTGTGATTTCAGGGAAGTTGCTGTTCTTCTCTGTGAAGACTTAGTAGTAGAAATGCTATTAAATACTGTGGTAGGTATTATTTCTATGTCAAGAGCTTTGAGGTTTCTAAAAGCCCCTCCAGTTCTGCTTTGCAGTAAAATTTCATTGTGCTCTAGAGGTTCCTAGACCGCGTGGGTTTATGTGTTGAGGCAAGCTGAGATTGGATAAACTTTTTAATTTGGGGGTGAGTTACGGCCTGAGTGTGCTGGAGGTGGGAAAAGATTGTCTTGTGCTCCAGAGAACATGGTGAAGAAGAACTAGCACCTCCTCGCACAACAGAAATTATGGAAGGACAAGTGAAATGAATGAACAGATCAAGTTTTTTCAGTGCCTGTCATTTCCATTTCTCCAGCCTCTGAGGATCAATCAAGGTTGTAGCACTTTCATATGTAAGAAATATATTTTTGTAGCTCACTGTCCTATACGCATAGGGCCTGACTTCTCTACAAATGCTTTGCTGCCTGCTTATTTTGACAGTTTTATTTATTTATTTATTGCCAGCCACTAGAAAATTGAACTCAAGAGGTTGACTAAAATGTGTCCTGTCACATAAAGGCATTTAAAGACAGATCAGTTTTACTCCTGTTATATTCATGTGAGATCCCATTACCTTGCACCACAATTCCTGGTTTTGATCCAGAAAGAAATTTGGTCCATTCTGTTGACTCTTTGAGAAACTTCAGAGCATCAAATTACTCTGTAGCACCAAAACCAACAAAACCTTCCAGCTTGGGAGAGAATGGAGATTGTTCTGTGTCATAAACAATGCTTGCCCTGCAAAATTTTTGAAATATTTAATGTCTTATCAATTCCCCAGCAAATGAGTGTTTGAAACGTTACATTCTTTAAAATTATGCATTAAAATGCTGACAGTACTGTTCCCCAAACCACCTTGCAAATATTTCTCATACTTTAAGGGATGCTTGAACACATTAATTTTTAGAGTCTGAGTAACTATTTTTTCTACTTACAGTATGGAACAGTTCAAATATATTCAAAATGGATTTATTTATTTACTTATTTTTCTGTTAAGATGTTCTGTTTGACTAAAGCCCAACAGCCCTACAGTTGGATTGTGCAGATCTGCTGTGAAATCAGGTTGTTCTTTGTTTTGATGGAATTTTATTACTTGGGGAAGGGTGTTTTAGAGCCAGGAGAGAATGCATGTGGTCTTCTGTTTTCTTTTTAAAGGAGTTCAGAGGGAGAAAGAAAGGGTTAGGTAAATGTAAGTTGTTCAAGGGTTCTGTAAATATATCCCTGCCCCACTCCCCCAGGCTGATGGGGAGGTACAAAGTGGCTGCCTCATGCTCTTCATTGTTTATTCTCTATATGTCATCTTGTTTTTTTCCCTTCCAAATTTATAACAATAGATATGTGGGCCTTACTGAAGAGATGCTCTGCTGTGGAATTTGGGGGAAATCTAGAGCTTCAGAGGAGGAGAAAGCATTAAGCTTGAATTATACCTACAGTCACCTCCTCTTCTGTTGAAGTTTAGCAGCAGTCAGCGGCCACTGAAGAAGTTTTTAATCAGAGAACTATTTAATTACCAAGCCATGTGATCTCTTGACTTGCTTTGAGTACTGTTTTAACTAAATGCTTTTATGTAAAACACTTAATTCCTCCCTATTTGGGTTGCGTAGGTTAAAACATCCTATTTCTGAAATTTTACAGAAGTGTTGATGTCCCGTGAGTGACAGAACGTTATGTAGATCAAATCTTAAGAAGCACATAAACTCTTCTCTATATATTCTATATTCTTTATAAAGTAAATTGTATGTCTCTGAATGATCTCTTATGAGCGTTCTGTTCTTTTCTTGCAGGCATTATGCTGCTGGAAGTGTTCCTGGCTCTGGGGGCAGTCATCATCTACTTCTATTTTTCTAAGAAGAAAGAAGAGACGTTACCTTTCAAAGAGGGATGGTGGGGCAAGGGACAAAAGCCTGATGCTGAAGAAGATACAACTATTTGGCCATTTAAGGTGGAAACTACAGAAGAAGACCTGAGTGTAAGCAAATCTCTGTACTGGGGAGAGGGAAGTACAAAATGGCCAAATAAATGCAGAACTTGTTTAGAAGTAATTTTTAAATTGAACCCATAGTTGCATTTATGAGACTGAGCGATGATGTCCAGGGCTTGGAGGACAGGATTTTTCAGTACTTCAGAAGACAGGGATTGGTAGGCAGATTTCACATCCTGCTGTACAATTTAGTTCTCAGCTGGCTGTTGCAAGATTGCTAGTAAATAAACCTACTCTGCAAAGCCTAATAAAGATAAAAATCATATTACAGATTACTCAACTCTGTGTTCCTGTTTGTGCACGTTCCTCAGTTTGATTGTAGAGGCCAGAATATGAACAATGTCGTCTTTTTCTTTTTTTTTCTTTCAAAAGCAATTATGAATATCTCATTTTTTTGACTGCTTTATATTTGCAGCTGTGTTGGATGCTGATTCTTCTGTAATTAATGATCTACTTCGATCAACACTAATACCACAGCGGTAATTACAGTAAACACATACATTGCAGAATTTGTTAGATGGCAAGATCTTGATTGTGTATGTTTAAGTCAGGGATTGCACAATTTCATAAATCTGTGTGGAGCAGTGGGATTCATGGGACTGCTTGTATTATTCATTTGCAATGGATTCCTGTTTTCTCACTGAGGCCTGGGATTTTTAACACTGTTTGCCCTCCTTAGTAATATCAATGGACATTGATGTCCAATATGTTTTCCTCTTACACTGCAGACACAAAGTGAGGTAATTTCTGATTTATAGATATTTTTGAAACACACGATTCTGTATTATGACAGCTATTGCAACATAATCCATCAGGAAAAAACTGTTTCTAAATAAATGTTTACATAAACTAGGAATTAGAAGTTACGCTAGCAGGCATTGCTAAGGTATTTTTTAAAAGGTGTTGAGCGTAGACAGAAAGCATTTATGTAAAGATAAAATCCCTCAGTGTTTCCCGGTGAAGATCCCAGCCCCTTGGTTTGAGAAGGACAGGGAAAGGTTTGGGTCAGACCCATGCATTGATTGTGAGGTTGGGCTTGCAGATAACCTGGGGAGCAAAGTACCCTGGAAAGGCAACACGACTTACCCTGTGAAGCCCCAGTGGTGTCAGAGCGTGTTGTCCTCTGGCTATCAGCCTGGCAACCAGGTTAGCCAGCCCTGCAAAACAGAGAGAGAGAGACTGTTAAGAACAGCTGTAAATGGAAGAGGAAGGAGGCCATCTGGAGGAGAAAAAGAATTGGAACAGCTGACGGACCATCAGGAAAATGCACAGGTGTCATTAGAGATCTTATTTTAATTGTTCTCCTTTCACTTGTAACTAGAAATCGCACACAGCAGAGCCAAGGTGGCAGACACAAGCGCTTGTAACATCCCTCGTTCTTTTTTCTCTGTAGGACTTATTTAGGAGACTCGACCAGGCTCGATTCACTGAGCCGCTGGAGAGCAGTTGCTTCCATTATGGGACTAACTCGGTGTATCTCAGGAAGGTTGTCTCCTACTGGAAAAACCAGTTCAATTGGAAGAAACAAGTTGAAGTCCTTAACAAGTACCCACAATTCAAAACTAAGATTCAAGGTGTGTGGCTTCTTCTCTTAAAAGAATAAACAAGTGGTAATACATAATCTTGTCTCCAAGGGCTTTTGGTGATAAGAATGCTATGGTTGTGTCGCGTGGGCTTTCCCTGGATCGTTGCCTCCGCTGCTGAAGCAGTGAGAAACTCCCTTCGTCGTAACCGAAGCCTTTAGGACAGGGAATGACAAATGGAATTCTCTTGTGCATGGATGGGTTGTCAGCTGGTGTTAACAGGAGCCGAGCGTGGGTATTTGAAACAGAACTGCATCTTCAGATGTACGCCTGTTGCCTGACTCGCATGCAGTCACGCAGAAATACCTCTTGCTGATGCCTCCGGATGCCTCCTCTTGCTCCATGGAGTTCCCCAGCTGCTGCTGTCGTGGTGATGCCGTCAATCTGGCAGCTCTCCTCAGCTTGGCTTGTCCCCACTTGGCAGGCCAGATGCCTCTGCTGCACCGTTTCAAGCGGTTGTAGGTTGAGAAACACAGAACCCCTTTCCCTTGGGGCTGACGTGCTGCCAGGTGCCACTGAATGGTTTGTCTTTCCATTCCAAGCACAGGGGCCACTCAGCCAAGGTCTGCTGGTGCAGGAGCTTGCTCAAGCTGTACATTTTAAATGCTTGAATTAGGTTGTGCTTGGGTCATTTGGGGGTACAGCTGTAGATTTAGAGCACAGCAGGTATTCGTCTCACACGGTGGCAAAATTCAAGCTTGAGATTATACTATTAAATTTATACTTGCACCCTTAATTGTACGTTATTTCGAAGGGGGCGGTTCACCATAATATTTAAAATGGAGTTGGGAGAATAAACGGTTGTTACATATTGGTTAGAACATAAAGATTTTATTTAAGTGTATAAAATGGGATTAGTGCTGAAAAAGATAAAAGCAAAAAGTCTTTCCTTGAAAAAAAAACAACAAAGTACCACCTGAAATAAGAAAGGGAAAAGAAGCTATGGACAATGCACTGTGTATAGCAGTGGGAAGAGAAATTTCAACATTAGGACTGATTAGAGAGATGAGCCATGAAAAGATGAGATGGAGCATGCTGTGTATCAGATTCCGGCTTCATCACCTGAAGTTTTTCAGAGAATACAGAAATCCACAGAACTGTCAAAGATGTGGAAATCTCAGTCAGTGAAAGGGGTGTGAGCTGGAGCCAATGTGAGCAAAATATACTTACATACCTCAAGAATGGAGGCATTCAGGCTCGAGTAAGAGCAAATACTGTTTCCTGGAAACCAAAGCCTGGAATGGGTTTAAGGAGAGGCAGTTCACCTGGAGCAACTGGTGCAACACTGTGAAGCTACTGGTTACGTATTGTAAGAATCACAAAGGAATCAGAACTGCAATTTTTATCTTTTTATTTAAGAGGAGACTGGTACTAGAACATTGTTTCCTGGTTTGGTTCACTTACTTAAAGAGATACTGAAAGCTTTGGACAAAAGTTAGGAAAGAATACAAAACTGAGGACTCTCTTTTGGCAAGGTGTGTTTTCAAATCTTTGATTCAGCATGAGTGGTTTATCAGCAGTTAGGATGTGTGATGACTATAGGAGGGCTCCACAGAGTATAATCACTGAAGGCTTTTTCAATTCCTTTTGCTGGGACATTGGGATTAATGGCTGGAGACAGCAGCTAGATGTGTTCAAATGGAAAGTAAGGCATGCACAGAACAAGATAAGTGATTAATGCCCCCAAACAAACAGGATTCCCTATTTCTTCATGCCTTCAAGTTGCAATTGCCTGCCTTTCAGGACAGAAAGGTTGGCAGAAGCCTGTCTAGTGCTATATAGGGACATTTGGGTAAAATTTAAGGGCACTTGGACTGAATGATGTCATCATCTCTTCTGTCTTCAAGCTGTGTGAGTCACTGTGTAACAGTCAGTAGATTGCTTCACTTCTACATCCTAATATGTCAATTTATTTTAGAACAGAAATACAACAGCCTCATTTGGCTACTGTGCGGCTTCATTGCCCAGTATAAAGTACTTGAAGGTCCTTGGATAAATGGGTCCAGAGAAGTGCAGTGTGTTTGTATGCTCACCAAAAAAAGGACTTCAGAAAAGATTTATTCGTAATCTGTTCTGTGATTAGTTCAGTTGCAGTAAATTTGGGCAAGTTAATTAATTATTTTATTTTTGCAGGCATTGATATCCATTTTGTTCATGTAAAGCCTCCCCGTTTGCCTGAAGGCCGTTCTGCAAAGCCATTATTAATGGTTCATGGTTGGCCCGGCTCATTTTACGAGTTTTACAAGATCATCCCTCTCCTGACGGATCCCGCAAGCCACGGCCTCAGCGATGAACACGTTTTTGAAGTCATTTGCCCATCTATCCCTGGTTATGGTTTCTCGGAAGCACCCCACAAAAAAGGTATGATGTATGAGAAGAAAGTGAGCTGACACAAGCCTAGTCTCACAGAGAGGAAGTATCTCCTGCCTCTTCTTTTCCCAGTGTAGAAACGTGGGAAGGGGGAAATGACAGCGTGACTTCAGGTGACACCTTTGATCAGCTTCAGGAGCAATGTACAGATAATTTACAAAGGGCTATAAAAAGTTATGAAGTTACAACTCATGAATTGTAATGGAATTAACGAATTGTGTGTGGGTGAGCAAGAAGGGTAAAGTTAATTTGTTCCAGGTCCTTTGGGATGTGTTGAATCCATATTCAACGTTGTTATACAGGCAGGTAAGCAACACTTGAAACAAATCAATGCAACGGTGGTTTTTGTTTTGTTTTGTTTTAATGCAGACTTTAATTCTGTAAGTGCTGCTTCTGTGTTTTACGAATTGATGCTCAGACTGGGATTCAACGAATTCTACGCGCAAGGTGGTGACTGGGGCTGGCTCATCTGCACCAATCTGGCCCAGATGGCTCCCACGTGAGTATCCCTTCAGTGCAGCTGCTTTATTCTTTCAATAGTTATTTCTTGTGCACGTGAGAGTTCCTGTCCAAGCCCTCATATGTGTAGTTTCTCTCACCAGTGCTTGGTGTTAAGCGGTGATCCAGAATTACGCACCTTAGTTTTATATTATGTACCTGTTCTTTCAAACAGTCATGCAGTAGTTTTGTCATGGCCCCACTGGGGTCTGGAGTGGGATGATTGCTGGTAAAAAAAAGAGGAGGATTTGTGGCTTAGTGTCTGGGAGTGTGTGCTGATTACTGACAGTCGTCTCTTTGACTTGTTTTTTTGTGTGAAGATCCACACTACAAAGTACACTGAAGGTCAAGATGTAATTAGCAGGTCACAATTTAAATATGTCCATTTTCGTTCATAACATTTTAAATATAACAACTTTAAATCGCGTTTTATTTGTTGTTAATTAACGGGGGCTTTTCTGTTTTTATTTTTAGGCATATGAAAGGTCTCCATTTAAACCTAGCCACGGTTACAAACATGGGACTCACTCACCTGCTCTCCATTCTGCTGGGCCGCTACTTCCCGGGGCTCTTCGGTTTCCAGGAGGAAGATGTCAGGCGGATGTTTCCCTTCTGGGAAAAAGGGATCTACAGGATCCTGCTGGAGTCTGGCTACGCTCACATACAGGCTACAAAACCTGATACTGTTGGTAAAAAAAAAAACAAACAAAACCCCTTTTGAGCTCAGAATACTCAGTCTGTTCATTTTAGTTGTGCTTTAATAGAAATGAAACATACTGCTTAAAATATGCAGAAAAATCGGGGTTTTTTTCAGCGAAATTGAAGAATTTTTAAAAGGTGGGCTTCTTTTCCATATCCAAGTTAGAAAAGGTTACATATGGGTATGTAGTATCACACTCTCTTGTATGCAGACGTGGTAAATCTGCACATCAGAACTGAGCGTGCTCCGAGTGCCACTGACCTCATTTCAAGTTTTCATAAATAGTTTATTTAATACTTTTTCACTTCTGCTCTCACTGGGGACTGGGATTCTTTTCCAAATGCAGTTATGCTGAGAGCAAAAGATAGTTTCATCACAGAGAATGGATCACATGCAAATGACGTAAACTACAAAAAGCTTTTAGCTGTCTCAGCGCGCAATGGAGCTTATTTATAGGGATAAGTAATACCTGAAAAGTAAAATCAAATTTAGTTCTTACTCATTGTTCTGAATCACTTGCAGACTTTCAAGGAAAAAAGAAAAGCGTACCTAGGAACGTTCCTTCTAGATGAGCTAGTCACTCAGAAGGTTTAACTGCTTAAAGTATCTGAGTATTAAGTGTTTCTATTTTAAAAAACATCTTTTGCAACTGAATTGAACAACTGAGTCAAGAAAACCGAATACATTTTAGTTTAGCGCAGCAGCAGTTCACTCGTGGATTTTATTAAAAACATAGCTGAGGAAGCTATTTCTTAATGGCTTTCCATAAGCTTAGCTACAGAAGCAAGCAGATTTCACAAGGTCCTGTGGACCTTCACGTTCCTTAGGTGGTCTTGAACCTGATCTTCTCCTATAGTGGGTGGTTCTTCATTCTAACAGCCCCTGGGTTTGCCTTCTGCAGCTTGGGTGGTGTGGTTAGAGCTCCTGTTGGTGAAGACTGAGGTGAAAAAGTCATTCAGTACCTCAGTCTTCTCCATATCCTGGGTGACCAGGTCTCCTGTTTCCTTCCAGAGAAGGCCTACATCATCCCTAGTCTTGCCTTTATCTCTTATAGAAGTACTTACAGAAGTTTTTCTTGTTATCCCTGATGTCCCTGGCCAGATTTAATTCTGTCTAGGCTTTAGCTTGCCTATCTGGTTCCTGGCCACTTCAACAGTTTCTGTGTCTTCCTCCCAGTCTACCTATCCTTGCTTTCACCCTCTGTAGGCTTCCTTTTTGCTTTTGAGCTTGTCCAGGAGCTCCTTGTTCATCCATGCAGGTCTCCTGGCTATTTCATCTGACTTCTTTCTCGGGATACATCAATCCTGAGCTTGGAGGAGATGATCCTTGAATCCTAACGAGCTTTCTTGGGCCCCTCTCCCCTCCAGTACTTTTTCCTACATTACCCTGCTAAGCAGGTCCCTCAAGAGGCCAAGGTCTGCTCTCCTGAAGTCCAGGGTGGTGATCTTGCTGCACACCCTCCTCGCTACCCTAAGGATCTTAAATTCTACCATTTCATAATCATTGCAGACAAGGCTACCCTTGAGTTTGACATTCCCCACCAGCCCCTCCTTGTTGGTAAGGACAAGGTCCAGCATGGCTTCTTTCCTCATTGGGTCTTCTACTATTTGAAGAAGAAAGTTGTCGTTGACACATTCCAAAAACTTCCTGGATTTCTTGTGGCCTGCTGTGTTGTCCTTCCAACAGATACTGTGGTGGTTAAAGTCCCCCATGAGGACCAGGGTCCCACTTGGGTGGCCTGTAGCAGACCCCCACTGTAACATCACCTGTCCCCACCCTCCCTTTAATCCTAATTCAGGAAGTTTTGCATTCAATGATAATATTAAATTTCTTTCCTGTGTCAAAAAGTTTTGCTGTTCTCTAAGTGATAGAAACTAAACTTTATTTCTTTGAATTTTGAGGGAAACCAGAATTCCCAATTGCCTATTATTCTACAGCCAAAATTGTATTTTTTTCCATGTCCAAGCAAAAAAAACTATAAAAAATATATTCAGCCTTGTTCTACATGAAGGCAGTTGGCTATTGCTAATTCAGAAGATGGACCTTTTAGTAAAGCCTTGCTCTTCCTTAATGACTTCCTAATAATCCTTAAAATGTTTTTGCTGATAAGATAATGGTGCAAATTCTCCCAGTCATGTGTAGGCATGTGGGGTTTGGCCCTGTAATGCTCTTTAATACATGACAACTTCCAGATTAATGGAAGCAACCCCTACTTGGCACATAGAGCTTAATCTTATTAGTTTACAAGAAGAAGAAAAAAAAACACAGCAGAAATCCAATACTATTACATCAGTTCAAAAAACATACAGCGTGAGCTAACACGGAGCCTGTTGGTTTGCAGATATTACCAGTTTATGATTCAACAATAAATGGCTCCAACCTGTTCTACTATTTTACTTATTACTGCTGGAATAGCTTTGTAGCATTATCTACCCTGTATTATAATGGGATGCTTCTCTAACAGTCGGGGTTCAGTAGTGGGATATTGCCATTTTAGTTACGTTTTCCTCCTCCTTTTCAGGCTGTGGTTTGAATGATTCTCCTGTAGGACTGGCCGCGTACATCTTGGAGAAGTTTTCTACGTGGACTGATATGGAGTTCCACGATTTAGAGGATGGAGGACTAGAGAGGTAAGTGGTTCCACTTACGCCGTTCTGGACAAGGTGACTAAGCCCAGAGCTGAAGAAGTTTGTCTGAACTGGTGGCCTCCCCTCTTGCAGGGAGCCTGTGGTGGCCACAAATAGTGCAGTGCTGTACTGCGAAGTGGTAAACAGGCAATGAAGGCTGATGTGCTCCCTTCCCACTTTGATCTCCTAGAAAAGAGATACACCCTGCAGCTTCTGGGGATTATAACCCGACTTTGGTGGAAGAATCTCATTAGGACAGAAAAACAAACATTTAACCTACATTACTGACAGGTGGAAGGAGAGTAACACGTTTCACCTCTCAATTCTTCTTAACTGTTAACTGTTTTTTCCTTGTAACTTTTTTTTTTCTTACAACCAAAGTCAAGTCCCTGCTAAAGTAATGCAAAATGGTGTTCAGTTCTAACTAAGCGATCTCTGGCCTTACCTCTTCAGGAAGTTTAACCTGGATGATCTGCTGACCAATATCATGATCTACTGGGTGTCAGGCTGTATAGTCTCCTCAATGCGTTTTTACAAAGAAAATCTGCAGAAGGGGATAGGCAATCAAAAACATGAAAGGTAAGCAGGTTTTTTCCTTAAATATTTTGCCCTGAACTTATGGTTGCAGAAGGGTTGCTTATGTCTTATAGGCTGCTGCAAGTTTCTGAATGCTGAGGAAAAGCAATGCTGTATCACACTGTTCCTATGCAGGACAGGGCTGTTAATTATCTACTGTGTTGTGCATGGAAAACAGGGTAATTAAGTAAAAATCCTGACCCATCAGTAAGGAAGCTCTAACTGGAGGTACTGCTTAAGGACATCCCATTCATGGTGTATTCAACTGGGGGAAAGCACGTGCAAGTTCTTCCAGATTTTATTTCAGTTACTAAATTAGCCTATGACTGAGCCGTGCAGTCAGTTTTGTTTATTGTTTATTTGGTTTGTAGTTCTAGTGCTTTTCTGGACACAGTTTGCCAACCTTTGGAAGCAACTTCAGCACACTGACAAACTGCGTAACTTCAAAGTCATTAAGACTGATATTCCTGCTGCACAGACACTTAAGACAGCGGCGTGGTTGTATATACTTGTGTCAGCTTGAGTATTAGCAAAGGCTTAAACCTGCCCTGAGGTATTTGGAACCACAGCTCAGCGCCACAGTATTTATTTAGCTGTGAAATGATGCTCCCAGGAAGCTGACTCAGTTCTTGAAGCTGTTGTGGCTACGCCGTGGGCAGCATCCTGCTCCAGTTCTGCCTACATGAGATGAGCTCTAGGAGCCTGGAGGAAAGAGTCTCAAAGTCCTACATAAAATTAGGCACCTTGTTTTTTTCCAGTAGTGACGTGCCCAAGAATTTTTCTATCTAAATTTTAAAGTCTATTTTCTGACAGCGCAGCCCTATGTGTATGGGATATTTAAACCTAGAAAATGTTGCTCTGTTAATAGTAAGCGCAGATCGTTCCACTTTCTAAGCTACTTTTCCCCTCATATCCAGTTGCTTCCCTACACTTTCCAGTATGTAAAACGTTCTGTACATTTGTGCCAGTTAAAAGCAAGAGCCATTTTACAGGGTAGTCTCACGTTCTGAAATGCTTCCTCTGAACTAGTCTAGATTTACTCTCCTATTGCTCCTCCCCTCTCCTCCCCCTTTGCAGCAGTTCAAGATACTTCTTCCCCTGCCTACCCTCCAGTTGTCCTGACAGGCTCAACATGTTCCAGTTGTAATCTTCACTCTAAATCTCCCTCCAGCCCTTGTCAAATCATGTGCTTTCTCCTTAGTATGTGACTCTTGTGCCCTGAATGCAGCATAAGTAAAGAAACTTGATGCAAAAATTAAAAATTTTATTTATCCCCCCCCAGGTATGGGATTGTTGCTGAATGTTCAAATTTAGGATCTGGAAGTAAAATTTTTAATTGCCTAACAGTGTGCCCAACTCTTAAAGAACAGTATTTCCACTGGACTTTCCCTTTCTTGCTAAGTTAAGTGTTTGAAATATTAAAATTATTCTCTCTCCTCTCAGGCTGACAGTAAAAGTACCTACTGGCATCGCCTCCTTCCCTAATGAACTCCTACACGTCCCCCAGGCCTGGGCCCAGAAGAAATACACCAACATAGTTTCCTTCCATTTCATGCCCCGAGGTGGCCACTTCGCAGCTTTGGAGGAACCTGAACTTCTTGCTGAAGACATTCTGCAATTCGTTGGGAAAGTAGAGAAAGAGCAGCTTTGGAGAAAGAAAGGAGAATAACTCCCCTAACAAACAGCACAATAATTTCTTATAGCTTAGCAGAGGCACGGGCCTTACTATGTTTACTGTAATCCATGTAATTAGATCTTATTCTTGACCAGATGCGAGAGAGGACAGCAAGAAAAATGCATTAAATCTCCATAAGATACTGTGGTGGAGTCCTACAGGTTCTGGGGTGGTTTATGTTGTTCAGCCAAGCTAAGGTGGCAGCATGAAGATTACTGGATTACTTTCTCCCCCAAGAACAGACTTCTAAAATCTGTTCTGTAGTATTCCTCACTCTTGCTTTAAAATGGAAAAATAGACTTTACAACTAGTAACATAACTAATAACAGTTTAATTGTTAGGAAAGGCTTTTTTTTCACTGCAGCAGTAAAACTTGAGCTGGTATAGGTGTGAGATTTCTCGTGTAAAGGATGGGGAACAGCCCAGCAAGACCTAACTTGCATGAATGCTTTGGTTAATCCGCATCAGTGATCTACAGTACCTTTAAACTAGCCAGCTGGCTACTGCTGGCTGCCTTTCTCTTTGAGCCTGGGCTTGTTAAGCAGCTTCCTGGCTGCGAGGAAGCTCAGCTCCCCTGGGACAGCAAGATGTGAGGAGCAGCTGAAACACAGGGGTGCCTGTAGCTGGGACCAGAAGGAGGGGTTGGGTGGGAGTAATTCTAGCCCAAGCTACTCCGAACCAAAAATCACAGCCTTGGACCGGCTCAAAACACTGTGGGCTTTGCACTGCTTCTGCACAGTATTGTGAATACTTCTTATTAAGGAATAAAGATGTCATTAATTCAAAATGAAAAGAAACTTGCATTAAAATTTTGAATAATACCTGTATGTTTCTTCTGAATTTTTAATAATGGAGATATTGCTTGGTGACAGCAAAGAGAAGCATCAATTCAGACCCTGTCACTTCTGTGCTGGATCTGTTACAAAGGTGGGATTGAAGGCAAACTGCTCGAAGAAACAGCAACAGTTCCTAGTGTGTTCAGTTGAGCTTCAGACTCACTCTTAAACTCTGTCCAGATGACTGATTTCAGTATGGTTTTGTTCTTCCAGTCACTTCTGATATACTTCCCTACCCCTGCAAACAGAGGGAAATATAATCCACCAATAACACTTAGTTATTGTTTATGGATTAGTATTATTTCACAATATTAATTGAAATGGAAGCTGTTAAGTAACAGTCAGTCCAGCAAAGCCCAGCTCCATCCCACAGGGCTTTAGACTCAAGAATAAATACCAACGAGTTTGTTTCACAGAAGGAAAATCAAGGCTCCTGCTGGGCACATTTGAATCTCGGTGCTCAAAGGCACCTGATCTGCCGTGACAGAAAATCATTAGGGCAGATGGGTTGTAGAAGAGCTTGGATCAGTTTTCTGAGCAGGGATGAGGCCTCTCGCTGGCTGCCCTCCACCTTCTGTGCTTCTCACGAGTCTCCCTCCAGGATCTGACTGCAGAGCTGCCTCACACCTTCAAGCTGTACGTGAATTAAGACAGCTGACTGCTTCCAGATCAGTAGTGAGGACTTGTAAGTGCTTTCATTAGTCAGAATTTGTGTTTGCAAAATACCATGTGGTTCAGGCCTGTCTGTTTTGAACAGACAGGAAAATACAGAGTAATTCGCTTTGTCTAAAATAGATTCTTCTCAGAGAAGACCATCCCTCAAACTCATTTCACGTTCAGTAAATTAAAAAAAGGTTGCGTATTGAGGAGGAATCAGCTCACCTCTGACAACAATGGCTGTTTACACAGACCACTGTGCTCCCTCTTGCACAAGTCTTGATCTCTGGCTGTTTGGTTTTGCCTTCTGTCCCCTGTGTGGCCTTGTATTTCAGAGCTGGTCTTCTCTCATCTTTAATGCACGTGCAGACATCTGCGGTGGTGCTGCCGTACACTGATATAATGGAATCCTTCCCAGGGGAATGCAGATAAAGTAAGCAGGAAGAAGCTTGCTATAGGATACCTGCCAAATCAATTTTCAGACACGAGTAGAAGGCTCGAAGCATTTTCTCTCTCCCTTCTGGAGCAAATCTGCTTGAAGGGCCCTGGCCTTGGTGAAAGGAGGCACATCAGGACTCTGTTTGTGATCTTGTGTTAGAGTGGCTCATCCAGGCTCGGGTCACCCATGAGACCTGGACAAAAAAAACAGCCTCCTGTAGAACATTTCTATTTTCAAATGCGCCTCAGCAATCAGAGATGATGATAATGAGCAGACACAGTGATCAAGCATGTCCTCACCTCTCTCTGCAGGCCAGGTAAGTGCCCCTCAGCCTGCTACAAACATGAGCCGTCCCCGCTGCCAGTTTTACTTGGTGTAGAAGAGAGACACCCAGACACTAAATCCAGCATGGAAATGGGTTTGATTAGCTGCTGAAAGAGGTAAAAAAAAGGATGTAGTAGACTGTGGAAGCTTAAAAATTATAATTAAACACCTGTTATATAGCAAAGGTTGTTCTGAATTCTGATGTCACCCTTCTTAAACCCTGAGCCAACAGCCATCAGCAGCTGTTGTTCATCACCTACTTATCTACGAAGATTCAGTGAAATGCTATGGCAATGTGAAAGAGTGTAAAATCCAGCTATGTGACCGACTCCCTTCCCCGTTTTCAAAATTATCATCTGTTTTTAGCCAAACACAGCCAATCCCACTGCCTGTGGTGGAAGGTTTAACGCTGCTGAAGTGTTTGTGGGCTCATGGTAGCATCCGCATCTCTTCCTGCGGGGAATGACTCTCTCATAAGCCTGAGATTTGGATTTGAAACCCACCCTGAGTGAATCCAGACTCTGATACACAGTACAGTACATTCTGGTACAGTCACATAATCAGAAATAGTTGTAACATTTCTGTTAGCAACTGTGTGTCAGATTATTGCAATAGTTAACAGCAGTAAGAAAGGACTCCCTGCCCTGTTAAATTCTTATTTAAGTACCTGCTGCTCAGACAGTAAGTTTCCTCTAACAAGGCCAAATGTGCTGCTTTTGGGCTGGCTGAACTACTTCTTGGGAATAAGGCTCTTTGTAATAGTAGCTATGGCCTTCAGAACCCAGAATCCGATGATGACATTTTGATGCTCCAGAGCCATTTCTTGGGCCTCTGCTCAAAGAAACTGTGGTCCTAAAAATAATATAAAAAAATCTTAAAAAAAAAAGTGTGTCATTCCTCCTTAAATTTCACCAAAGCATGCATTTGTCCCACACTGCAACCAGAATTAGCTGACCTAAACCCTGCTTTTTAATTAGTCAGTCACAGCCCATGAAGAGTCTGGATAGAGGTTCACAACCATGGAGATGCCACTGAAAATAAACAGAACTTACACTTTGCCCCCCAACTGAAGTGCTTTGGAAAGTATCTGCTTCTGGTATGGAAAAGCCACTAATAAGGTCATCATCTTCTCATCCAGCTCCAGCAGAACTAACTCCCACTACAACCAAATTTGACTTATGACTTGTAAACCACAAAACATTCAGTCCTGAAAAATCCCGGCTGCTATTTGCAGCCTTTGGACATCTTATACAACTAAATGAGACAAGACTTCATGTATATTAAACATGTAAAAAAGTCAGACATTACTCAGATTATGAATGAAAAAAAAATATGGATAGAAATCACACTTTCATGTGAAAAAGGAAGTTAAACCACCATTTAGCAAAAAATAGAATCTGTTAAGTCTGGCTTCCCAGATCTAGATCCGTAAGGGACACTATTCATCACCACTGAGTCAGCTGGGATTGCTTGGGGGCAAGCATTGATCCGTTCGAGACAGTCAATCAAACGTATGTTCTGTTTTACAGCAGGTGCCGTACATAATATGCATTAAATGAAGACACATTTTTGTCTGAAAGAGGGATGGAAAAGATGCTTCTGGATACTGTGGGAAGAGACAAGGAATAAATCCATATTGATTTCAGGGTAGCTTATTTTAAAACACTGAGAAATGATGCCACTTGTTTTACTTGCTGTAATAGCACTTTTAAGGAACATAACTCACACTAAAACCATCTTGCTTAGGATTAGTTTTCTTTCACGGAAGAAATATCCTGCGCGGTGCCAGACAGCCCTGATGGTGTTATGCCAATGCTGCTAGAAGAATTAGCCCCATTACAATCGTCAGTTGTCTTCTGGAGAGCAGGATTTATAAACAGATCTGTGCTGAGTGACAGCTCTTTCCCCGGCGAGATGCAGGCCAAACTCCAGTCTTTAGAATACTTCCCTGATTGGATTTTAAGATGTTAAGAAGGATGCTCGTGCTCTCCCTGTGATTAATAACGGAATGTCTGCAGTTTTGAGGATAGGACAAACAATAAATTAAAGTGATGAGTTTCCATCCTTTTAAATGAAAGCTAATCCCCCTTTGCAGCTGCAAGGGGCCCAGCATCCCGCTTACAGAGCCCCTTGTCCCCAGGGCTGAGCTTGGTCTCTGGCTGTGTCCCCTCCACAGCAGCCACAGCCCCCCCAGGGGGCAGGGGAAAGGGGAAAGTGCACCCTCAGCTACCAAATTCCTCCCCATCCCCTGACTCGCCCCACATTGGTATCCAACACAAAACCAGCCTTTACCTGTCCTGCTGATCCTGACTCCCTGGTAAACAGAATCATAGAATGGTTTGGGTTGGAAGGGACCTTAAAGATCATCAAGTTCCAGCCCCCCTGCCATGGTGTCACTAGACCAGGTTGCCCAAAGCCCCATCCAGCCTGGCCTTGGACACCTCCAGGGACACCTTCTCTGGGCAACCTGTTCCAGTGTCTCACCACCCTCACAGGAAAGAATTTCTTCCTGAGATCTCATCTAAATCTCCCCTCTTTCTGTGTAAAATTGTCCTATCCTTGTCCTATCACTCCACTCCCTGATCAAGAGTCCCCTCCCCATTTCTCCTGTAGCCCCTTTAGGTACTGGAAGGGGTTCTAAGGTCTCCCTGGAACCTTCTCTTCTCCAGGCTGAATACCCCCAACTCTCTCAGCCTGTCTTCATAGGAGAGGTGCTCCAGCGCTTGGATCATCTTTGTGGCCTTCTCTGGACCCACTCCAACAGGTCCATGTCCTTCCTGTGCTGAGGACTCCAGAGCTGGACACAGTACTCCAGGTGGTGTCTCACCAGAATAGAGCAGAGGGGCAGAATCCCCCCACTCGACCCCATCCTTCCTTCTTACCCCATCCATCTACTGTCACTTCATTCCTCCTTGTCCATCGCATGGGAGTACGTGGATGTGTCCCACCCCAAGGTATTCAGATAAGCAATGTCCATGTCTTCTTCTGCAGCAGGGAAAGGCCTAACTCAGGTCTGTGTGGCGTCCCTGACTCAGGGCGATTTCATGGGCTGGGAGAGCAGTTCTTAACCTCTTTTGCAGGCAAGCCTGCGTTGTTGTGGGGAGTTTGTACGTAAAAACACTTGTATCTCTTGAGTTCTAGAAATTCTTGTACAGTCTCAAGGGAACTAAGGTCCACCCCTACATTTTTGTCTCAATGGAACTGAGCCACAGTCTTCTGTGGCTGATAAAGCTTTTTGCAGCCATCAGAAGGCATTCTTCATCTTTCAGAGAAACCAGAGACAAAGAGAGATTAAGTAACTTCTCAAAAACTGAGCAGCATAACCCAATGCAGAACACAGATATAATTAATTCTCCTAACTTCACCACTCTACTATTATGTCTTTTCCCTTTTGAAGCTAAATAACAGAAATAATTGCTTAAGTGATTCCTCTCCAAGCTGCATAACCAATTTATTTCTCAATTCTTGCTCTTTTCTTCACAGCAGATTCTGATTTCTGGTCTTAGAAGGGAATGAATTCTTCCTATTTTAGTAACAATTTTGAAGTTACAGACATCAAATATAA